CAAATTCTCTATTTTACCCTTAATGAAAGAATAAATAATTTCATATTGCACATATCAAATCACAATTAATGCTAAATATAGAAATATTGAGAACAATATTTAAAGTGTAGAAAAATATCACATTTGGAAAGAAATGTCATTCTAGACATTTAATATGTCGAGAACAACGTTTGAAATGTTGAGAATATTTAATATTGTTATTTGACATGTATGTTTTTGAAATATAAACGAATTCAAATATCGAGAACGATATTTAAAATATCGAGAACGATATTTAAAATATCGAGAGTATCATTTTAATGTAGCTTTTCATGAGAGCTACTTAGGGGTATTCTCGTTCAAATAATTGCAAAAGTGGACATTGAAAAATTTTGGACATTTTCGCAAATGACTGTCAAAATGGACATTTTTTGTAATTTCCTCTATATTAATTAATGAAATATTGAAGATAAGAATTCGAACAAAAAATAATAATAAAAAAATTGCTACAATGAGCAAGATTGAAGAATTTAACTACAATTAAAAAGTGATGTAATAAATAAAAATTATGGTGATAATATAATCACCATTTATGAATTTCACTGTAAACCAATTGAATTGACAAATTTGACATTCATTTTGCTGTTCGAAATGGCATTTTGGTCAAATAATATGGGCATATTTCCCAGTTGTTTCTCTTGGGTAGCTTCTTGTTAAGGCAAAATCAAAATGTGTCACTGTGAAACATTGCTTTCCACGCGCTTTTGGGAGCGTCGAACATTTTCACTGTAATATAAATGTAACCGAAGCTGATTCCAAGTTTCCAACTGTCTTGTCTTCACACCATTTTCAACTTTTAATTATTTTTACCAACTTATTCTCAACCTTTGTTTTTTAAGTCCCCGTTCTCGTATTTTCTTCAAAATGGTTGTTAAAGACAGTTTTTAGTTGCAGCACTTCAAAATAATAAGCAATTATCAAGGATTATTTAAGAATTTTGCTAACAAGATAATTGTTAACTTACATCTAAATACTAAATAAGCTCACAAGAGATTTATCGTTGAGATTCTCATGATTATCGCTAAGCATCATGTGTGAATAAAGAATCTCTTCCACCATTGATTTTATAATGAGCATGGACAATTGTTAAAATATATAATTAAATGAACTTCGAAGAGGTTTATTGTTGAGATTACCGTGATTGATACTAAGCTCCCATTATGTATATCCTACTCAATTAGTCAAAGGGAGAGTCCAGAGTGGAGATCTTACCCGACTAGAATGACGAACATTTAAGTGGAGAAAGACTTGAAATAATAGATGTGTTGAAAATTTACTTAATTATACATAACGACTTTAAACAATATTTCAATTCCCATCAAGGATTTGTTTTGTATTTAAATAGAAATTATACATTTGTTTAATTTTGAAAAGTCCTTCACTTTTTTTTTTCAACAATTATGATTTGCAATCCAGAGCTGTCCAATTGTTCAGACTCTAATGAAAATTCACGCAGATATTAAGATTGAGAGAACCAAGGTTTTACTTTTCTTGTGCCAGCAAAAATACGAAATTTTTCTACAATTTTCAAACCCTAACAACTTATTTATATAAGTCTAAACGAGTTTGATCCGTCTCTTAGCCCAGTCTAATATTTAATTAATTCAATCAATTAATTAATTTGGACTATTTATAAGCACTCAATTAATTAATTATCCAACATTTGTTAATTAATTAATCGGTACATTTCATTTTTCTAGTTCTCTTTTTGTGAGTGATCGATTAAGTTCTCAATCACAATACCCAACGACGTGAATTATTATTTTAATATAATCAAAATCAATAAATTAAAACACCCATTTCAATTTATCACTAATTCATAATCATCGTTGATAAATGTATTTTATACACTCATTCAGTACCTTAAATAACGATAATTGATGGTTCTTTTAACAAATTATATTCTAATTTTTTGTCTTTTATGTTTAATATGTGAAATTTTATGAAGGAAAAGGAATTGAAGGAATGAAGCAAAAAAAGGACGAATTGCAAAAGTTTGGGGACCAAATTGTAACAATTCAATAGTTGATCCCGACCATGAATCGAAGATTGAAGAATTTAGAGATCAAATGTCATATTTTGGAAAGTGAATGACTTAAATTGAACCAAAGAATACGTTGCAAGAATAAAAGGGTTTAAGGACTAAAATTTATTATAATGAAAAATTGAGGACTTGAGAGGTAATATTGTATTTAAGACTTTGAATTGAAGTCAAAGATGGTGGCTATAGAGTTGTATTATAATTCACGCTGGAGGCTAGGAGTTTTTTGGAAAAAAAAAAAAAATTTAGAGTTCCTTTTAGAATTAAACTTGTGGTTGCTAGGTTTATATATATATATATATATATATATATATTTCATGCAAAATTTGGTGGCTACAATTTTTATCAGACATACGTAGGAGAAAAAAAAAGGGCAGCCAATATCTTATATGCACGCACGGAAATCGAAGTAGCTAGAATGCCTTTTTATTTGTCAAATTTGGTGGCTAGTTAATTATTTTTGGGGAGAGATTTATACGTACACGCATAGCGGAATTGGGGGAGCCAATTATATAGTATATATTTTGCACAAAATTAAGGCAGCCAACACTTTTTGCAAAAAGAGATGATTGACACAGACGGGTCCTTTGGAGAGAGAAATAGGAGGCAATTTTGGAAGAATTAATTGAAGAAAAACACGTTGCAAGTTCAATTTTACAATTATTCATGTTCCGTCAATTAATCTGGTGATATCTTCCATAAATTCTTATTTTTCTCTCATTAATATGCTTAGTTAAATTAAATTTTAGGACGAACAATATAACTAATTTGAGATCTTTATTTCTTTTATTTGAGATTATTGTTCTTTTATATTTTATGTGTAGATTTTAATTATGTTTTTATTGCTTTGAATTTGTTTGGCCAATTATTCAATGATTTCGTAAACAATAATTACGTAGAGATGCGGATTCTTGTTTAGACCACATATTAAAATTGGGTAAATTAATATAACGTGTAGAGATACCTATATTAATTGCTGCAGTCCAATAGAAATTCTTAGAACTATTATTTCGTTTAATTAAATTTAATTTGCATAGAGATATGTAATTAAACTAATTAAATAGGCCCAACGAGAACTCGAGAGAGATAAGTTGAATACAATAGAAGAATTCGATCGAACACTATTTTAATTTTATGAATCACAATATTAGAGGTAAAGGTGACCAATAGGTGAATTTGTTCCGCCCTAATCCCCATTTATTAATTGAATTTTCACTCATTTTCTGTTGCATTCACGAAAATTTTAGTTGTTAGATTTAAAAATCACATTTAATCATTTTTTGTTTATTTTTATCGAATAGAAGTTAGGAAAAATAAATTGAGTACTAAAGTATAGTCCTCGTGGGAACGATAATCCGAACTCAAAATGTCCATTTGATTACTTGTCACGGATCCGTCCACTTGCGGGATAAAATCGACAGCAAGTTTTTTGCGCCATTGTCAGGCACTATTATTTTTAGTCTTAATTTAATTTAATTAATTTATTTTTTTATCTTATTTTTAATTGTTATTTGATTTACTTATTTTCTTTTATTTACAGAAAACTGTGTTCGTTGTATGCTCCATGCCTAAGGTGATGATCTTGAACTGTTTAATTCGAAAATAGAACGTACCTTCAGACGAAGACACAGGGAACACAAACAAAAATCGTAGTATCAAATGGCTGACAATCTAAACAATTATATCACTATGCAGCCAATTAGACAAATGGCCGCGAGAGCTCAACAGCAAGAGCAAAGAGAAGTAAATGAAGAGAACTTGCCAGTTTCTATGTTTTTTATGCCTATAGCAGCACCCGCGCGGTCCAGCATAGTATATCCAGATTTTAGGGTAAACAACGTCTAGATACGGGCTGATTAGATTAATTTGATGAGCAACACTCCGCAATTCTATGTGTTACCTCATGAGAATCCAAATACATATATCTCAAGGTTTCCAAGGAATTGCTAGAATTGTCATGCTATTGGAGTTAATGAAGATGCCATTAAGCTGTGATTATTCCCATATACACTTAGAGATGCATCATTGGAATGGCTGAATGTTGAACTGGATGTAAGTATTACCACATGGGAGGAACTGATCAGGAAATTCTGCAATAAGTTCTTTCCACAAGCTAAAGTAGTAAAAATCAGACTGAAAATTCAAACATTTCAACAAAAGATGGGGAAAGCTATGACGAGGACTAGAACAGATTTAAGGAGTTGATGAGGAAGTGTCCAAATCATGGAATCACTATTGGAAATCAAGTGCAGTATTTCTACATAGGACTTTCACCACTATCCAAATCCCAAGTGGATTCCTCTGCAGGCGGATTGATCATAGGGAAATCAATGCAACAATGTATGGATTTGTTTGAGTTGATTGCTAATACTCATTCCATGTTTTCATCAGAAAAAGTGGTGCGTCCAAAAGCAACGGGAATTTATGAATTAGACAGCACAGTATCTACCAACGCCCAAATAGCAGCATTGACAAAACAGGTAGAGTTATTGGTGAAGTCACAAACAAAAGAAGCACATGTAGTGATAACTGGCCCATCCTGCGAAAACTATGGGGCAAATCACCTAACAGAAAATTGTACATCTATGGGCTTTCCGGAGGAACAAGTCAACTTCATTCAAAATGGCTCTCGAAATTTGAATCACTTTTCACAAATATATAACCCAGGATGGAGACAACACCTAAACTTCAGATGGTCGGATAATCAGCAAAGGAACAATTCGAACAATGCACAAAAGGAGAAAAAACCAATTTGGGAGAGATATTCAACTAGTACATGCAGAAGACAGACAAGGCGTTCCAACAGATTGACACTAACTTTCAGAATCAGCAAGCATCCATTAAGAAGCTGGAAACTCAAATTAGTCAGATAGCTTAATAGCTTGCAGAACGCCCATAAGAGACGTTGTCAGGCAACACAATGGTCAATCCAAAAGAGCAAGTGCAAGCTATTAGAGCCAGAAGTGGGATACAACTCCTAGAGATATATGTGAAAAGACCAGAGAGAAAAGATAAAGAAGTAATGGTTAAGGAGGCTGAGAAAGAAGCAGAGTCTGAACCACTAACTAATGAGAAAGACGAAAGAAAAGAAACATCCATAGTTAGAGCACCAAGCCCCGTGAAAGCTTATGTGTCACCAATTTCCTTCCCTCAAAAGTTACAGAGAAAGAAGTTGGACAAGCAGTTTGCCAAGTTTGTGGAGATTTTCAAGAAACTGCACATCAATATTCCGTTTGTAGATGTAATTGCCCAAATGCCCAGCTATGCTAAATTCTTGAATGAGATCCTGTTTAACAAAAAGAAGCTGGAAGAACATGAGATAGTCTGCCTAAACGAGGAGTGCAGTGCAATTCTTTTGAAAAAGCTACCTCCTAAACTAAAATACCCAGGGAGTTTCACGATACCTTGCACAATTGGTTCTAATTATTTTGAACATTCTTTATGTGATTTGGGTGCCACTGTTAACCTTATGTCTCTCTCTGTTTACTGGTCTCTTGCATTAGGAGAAGCAAAATCTACAACAATCTCTTTGCAATTGGCTGACAGATCGATCAAACGACCGAAGGAGATTATTGAAGATGTGCTAGTCAAAGTTGATAAATTTATTTTTCTGGCTGATTTCATCATTTTGGACATGGATGAGGATTCAAACATCCCTCTAATTTTGGGAATACCCTTCTTGGCTACTGGAAGAGCACTGATTGATGTTTACGATGGAAAGATGATTCTTTGGATAGGCAATGAGCAAGTCATATTCAACATATTCAAGGCGATAAAACATCCACTGACTTTAGACACCTGTTGTCAAGTAGATGTTCTTGAAGAGTTGATGACAGATACATTTGAGACAGAGCATCAAATAGTTCTTTGTGAAGCAGAAATTGCACAATCGGGAGCAACAAGTGCAGAAAAAATTGAATGTGTTGTCAACTTGGCTAAGCAACCAATAGGAAGAAGACATTGGCAGTATGAATCTCTTGGTGACAACCCTTCACCCCCAGTACCTTCAGTAGAAAAAGCACCCACTTTTGAACTAAAGCCCTTGCCTTTACATCTCCGTTATGCATATTTGGGAGACTCCACAATACTTTCAGTAATCACTGCGAATGATATGACAAGGGAAGAGAAGAATTGTTGGAGGTACTCAAGTAACACAAAATGGCAATTGGATAGACAATAGCTGACATCAGAGGAATCAGTCCAACTCTTTGTATGCACAAGATTTTAAAGGAGGACGTATCAAAGCCATCAGTGGAAGGACAACGAAGATTAAATCCCACCTTGAAGGAAGTGGTGAGAAAAAAAGTGCTGAAATTGCTGAATGAAGGAATAATTTATCCTATATCTGACAGTTCATGGGTGAGTCTAGTACATATTGTGCCTAAAAAGGGTGGAATTACAGTGGAGAAGAATGAGAACAATGAACTGATACCAACACGGTTATTGACAGGGTGGTGAGTATGTATAGATTATTGGAGGTTGAATAATGCTACCAGAAAGGATCACTTCCCATTGTCCTTCATTGATCAGATGTTAGAGAGGTTGGCAGGTCATTCTCCTTATTGCTTTCTGGACGGATATTCAGGATACAATAAGATAGTTATTTCTCCAGAAGACCAAGAGAAAACAATATTCACATGCCCTTATAGAACTTCTGCGTTTAGAAGGATGCCATTTGGTCTATGCAACGCACCTACAACCTTTCAACGATGCATGATGACTATCTTTTCTGACATGGAAGAAAAGTACATTGAGATTTTCATGGATGATTTTTTTGTGTTTGGAGATTTATTTGATGACTTCTTGGATCGATTGTCTCTTGTATTGCAAAGATGCAAAGAGAAGAATTTGGTGCTCAATTGGAAAAAGTGTCACTTTATGGTAAAGGAGGGGATAGTGCTAGACCGCAGGATTTCCTCAAAGGGCATTGAAGTTAATAAAATCAAAATACAAGTGATTGAAAAATTGCAGCATCCTAATTCAGTTAAGGAGATCAGAAGCTTCTTAGGACATGTAGGGTTTTACAAAATGTTCATTCAAGATTTCTCAAAAATTAAAAAACCTCTAGGTAATCTACTGGAGAAGGATATGTCATTTCACTTTTTTGATGAATGCTTAAATGCCTTTAATATTTTAAAAGAAAAGTTAACTTCTGCACCTGTAATAATAGCACCTGATTGGGATCTACCTTTCGAACTTATGTGTGATGCTAGTGAGTTTGCAGTGGGAGCGGTGCTTGGCCAACGTAAAGGAAAAGTCGTACATGTAATCTACTATGCAAGCAAAACCTTGACAGATGTTCAGATCAACTATGCAACAACAGAAAAATAGATACTAGTATTGGTCTTTGCTTTTGACAAATTTCGTTCCTATCTGATTGGTTCAAAGGTGATAGTCTAGTATTGAAATATCTGTTTAAGAAGAAGGATGCTAAACCTAGGCTGATTCGATGGGTTCTATTACTGCAAGAATTTGACATTAAAATTCATGACAAAAAGGATACAAAAAATCAGGTAGCGGATCATTTATCAAGACTGGAGCAACTGTGTGATTTAAATGATGTGGATATTAATGAGGTCTTTCTAGATGAGCAGTTATTGCAGATAGAAAAGGCTCCGTGGTATGCAGACATTGTTAATTACTTAGCTAGTGGCTCTATGGATCCTGATCTCTCCTATCAGCAGAAGAAGAAGCTGCTTCATGAAGCGAAATTCTATTATTAGGATGATCCAAATTTATACAGGAGAGGGTCAGACCAGGTCATTAGGAGATGTGTACCAGAGGATGAGATGAAACCGATCCTTGCACGGGTTCATGCTTCGGCTTATGGAGGATACTTTGGCCCCACTAAAACAGCAGCAAAGGTGTTTCAATGTGGTTTCTTTTGGCCTACACTATTCAAGGACTGCCACAATTTCTGTAGGTCATGTGATAAGTGTCAGAGAACAGGTGACATATCAGCGCGTCACGAGATGCCACTTAACAATATTTTGGAAGTGGAAATATTTGATGTCTGGGGGGTTGATTTTATGGGTCCTTTTCCATCATCTTATAACAATCAGTACATCCTAGCGGCAATGGACTATGTCTCTAAATGGGTAGAAGTTAAAGGATTGCGTACAAATGACGCAATGGTGGTGGTAGACTTCATAAAGAAACGCATCTTTAACCGCTATGGATCACTTAGGGCCATAATAAGTGATGGTGGAACTCACTTCCGCAATTGGTTATTCCAGGCAGTGTTTACCGTACCTCCGGCCCCTATGTTAGGCGGCCGTAATATTTTGTTACGTTCTACCGCTGTTACGCCAGAAATAAAAGGTTCCACACGAGCTCCCGTTCTGCGGCGTGGTGGCAGGACCGCTAGGGGAGTGGCTCCGGGTGTAGATAGGGTGAAATCTGCAGAGGTCATGCAAATAAATAGGCCCCTTCCCTTCTCTTTTGGATGAATGGGGTGCTTTAGAAGGCGCTTTCCGATCTACGGTCCCTCGGAGCAAAGGGTTAGGCAGGTAGTATGGGCCTTCTGACTTCCAGCTATGTGCTGTGCGGCTCCGACGAAGCGAATGAAGGGAAGCTCGAAGAGCTTACGGGTGAGCTTACGCTTACTCTCAGCCTCTTTGATTGGTAGGCGGGCGGGCNACTTTACGACAGCTTTTTCGTACACGTTCACTTGCATCACATACACAAGTGCTCTCTGAACCGGGCAATAAGGTCACCCATAAAGCATACTGAGCATTGAAGCAGTTAAACATGGACCTCGAAAAGGCTAGAGAAACAAGAATAATGTAGCTACATGAATTAGAAGAATTCAGAAGAGAAGCATATGAGAATGCAGTCATCTACAAGGAAAGGACGAAGCAGTGGCATGACAAGAACATCAGGCAAAGAATTTTTAGACTGGAAGATCAAGTGCTTTTATACAATTCCAAACTTAAACTTTTTTCAGGAAAGTTGAAATCTAGATAGCTCGGCCCTTATACGGTCTCCCAAGTGTTTTCGTATGGCACAGTTAAATTACATCATCCAACAAAAGGAAACTTCGAAGTAAATGGCCAACATATCAAGCACTACGTGGAAGATTTTCCCACATCTAAAGAGAGCCTTGACTTAGCTGTACCAGAATAATAGCTGCACAAAGTCCAGCTAATGAATTAAAAGAAGCGCTTATTGGGAGGGAGGCAACCCAATTTTCAATTTTTTTATTTTACTTTTTGTATCGCATAGCATATAGTTTTGTTTTGTTTACTAGGTTGCATTAGATTTAAGCACGTTTCAATTTTTAGGAGACATCACCCATATCCCTTCTGCCCTCAGACCCTTGAATTTGTTTTTGGTTATTTTGATTGTTTGAGTTAAGTAACTCTTGTTTCCTATATTTAATTAGTCAAATTTGATTTTTTTAAAAACATGACGTCGTGGAACACTCAAATCAATATAAATCCAAGGGAAAGAATGATGAAGAATATTATTCAGCCGTCACACATAGTGGTTCAAACCTTTCAACAGAAAAATTTGGGGAGTATTTTCTTCTTTTTCTTCCCTACCCTCTTTATATGCTTATTTATGTTTTATGACATTGAGAACAATGTCAATTTTAAGTTTGAGAATGAAAAACTTTTAGTTTTTGTTTTTTTGTATATTTTTATGTTTTTGTGTGTTTGTTTAAAAAAAAAAAGAAAAAAAGAAAAAGAACAAAATGGAAAAATTAAAAAAATAATAAAAAGAATCTCTTTTTGTTCAGTTGTGTGCTTGTGTGAGTTAGACAGTCTGGCAAACAATGATGATTTAATTTGAGATTTGGTGTTGATTTATGAACTGTGGATAAGATGCATGCTAGACTAATTGAAACTCAACCTTGCAAAATTTGATATTACAAGCGCACTATAATTGAGTTTGACATTGTAATTAAATGAGTTGTTTCTTGCTTTTGATAGGTTGATCTAGTGGGACATAGATGCTTTACCACATAGATGCTTTACCTAAACCATAATAAATTATCTATCCTTAGACCAAATTTAGCACGGTTTGGGGGTGATTTTACAGTTGTAGGAAGATACAAATATGAATGTGGATTCCATGCGTGAACACTTATGCGTGTATTATCTTAGACTAACACGATAAAACTTTGAGAAAGTCTTAAGTTAGAGGTCGATTTGTTTGAATAAGTGTGTGATAAAGGACATTGTACTAATCAAAGCATATACATTTGAAAATTCTAAACTTCTCTCTAAAGCCTTTATGACTCGAATGATTAAATCTATAAGGCTGTCTTAAAATCTGGTACCCTAACGTCGTCGGACTTGGGAGCCATCGACCTAAAGCTCGTTACAAGGGTCATTTAGAAGGCAATAAAAGACGAAGTTGCACTTGAAAAAAAAATTTGTTCTTTTCGAAACATTTTTGAATCGGGTTAGTAAGCCTGAAAAGGTATTTAAAAATCTGGTGCCCTAAAATCATTTGATTTGAGAGTCATCGGTCTAAAGCCTGCTACATAGGTCATCTAGAAAGCTTAATAGAGAGAATATATATATATATATATCAAAAAAAGCAAGTGCATGAAAAGAACAAAAGCACTAAATACCTTGGTTAAGTCCTAACACTTATTTGAGAGAATTTGACTTTTGATGCAAGATAATTAACTAATTGAGTCTTGGAGGTCGAAGCAAACAAATAATTGGAGAAGTGTTGACTTGCAATTCGTGACGTCCACCTGAACTCAAGAGGGTGAGGATATTAATGAAAAATTCAACCTTAAATCACACATTGAGAAATGAGTGAAAAGAATGTATTTGGAGGTATGTGAATCTTACGAGTGATGAAATGATATATTTGACCACAAAGGGTCGGGAATTGGAATAACTTATGTCATTAATGTCTACATAATTCTACACACACACGTCGATTTTACATTGGAAGAGTGAATATTAGTTTGGTGTTGTAACTTTGAATCATGTTGGTAAAATTAACACTTAAATCTTGTTTCCTGAGGTGAGAAGCTAGATTGTCCAACCGAATATTTTTGCATGCTTGTGTGTTAATTATTATTTAGTTTATAGTTTTGTTTGAAGACAAACAAATATTTAAGTTTGGGGGTATTTGATAAGTGTATTTTATACACTTATTTTGTACCTTAAATAGCGATATTTGATGGTACTTTTAACAAATTATATCCTAAATTTTTGTCTTTTATGTTTAATATGTGAAATTTTATGAAGGAATGAAGCAAAAAAGGACGAAATGCAAAAGTTTGGGGACCAAGTTGTAACAATTCAATAGTTGTTCCGGACCATGAATCGAAGATTGAAGAATTTGGAGATCAAATTTTATATTTTGGAAAGTAAAGGACTTAAATTGAACCAAAGAATACATGAGTTGCAAGAATAAAAGGGTTTAAGGACAAAAGTTTATTATAATGAAAAATTGAAGACTTGAGGGGTAATATTACATTTAAGACTTTGAATTGAAGTCAAAGATGGTGGCTATAGAGTTGTATTATAATTCACACAGGAAGCTGGGAGTTTTTTGGATAAAATTAGTCCCTTTTAGAATTAAACTTGTGGTTGTTAGGTTTCATATATATATATATATAGAAAACGGGGAGGAGAAGGAGCCAATTTGATATATTTCATGCAAAATTTGGTGGCTGAAATTTTTATCAGACACACGCAGGAGACAAAAAAAGGGGCAGCCAATATCTTATATGCACGCACGAAAATCGAAGCAGCTAGAATCCCTTTTTTTGTTCAAATTTGATGGCTACTTAATTATTTTTGGAGAGAGATTTATACGTACATGCATAGAGGAATTGGGGGAGCCAATTATATAGTATATATTTTGCACAAAATTGAGGCAGCCAACACTTTCTGCAAAAAGAGGTGATTGACACAGACGGATCCTTTGGAGAGAGAAATAGGAGGCAGTTTTGGAAGAATTAATTGGAGAAAAACACGTTGCAGGTTCAATTTTACAAATTATTCACGTTTCGTCAATTAATCTGGTGATGTCTTCCATAAATTCTTATTTTTCTCTCATTAATATGCGTATTTAAATTAAATTTTAGGACGAACAATGTAACTGATTTGGGACCTTTATTTCTTTTATTTGAAATTATTGTTCTTTTATATTTTATGTGTGGATTTTAATTATGTTTTTAATACTTTGAATTTTTTCGGCTAATTATTCAATGATTCCGTGAACAATAATTACGTAAAGATACGGATTCTTATTTAGACCACATATTAAAATTCGATAAATTAATATAACGTGTAAAGATACCTATATTAATTGTTGCGGTCCAATAGAAATTCTTAGAACTGTTATTTCGTTTTATTAAATTTAATTTGCATAGAGATATGTAATTGAACTAATTAAATAGGCTCAACGAGAACTCGAGAGGGGTAAGTTGAATACAATAGAAGAATTCGACCGAACACTACTTTAATTTTATGAATCACGATATTAGAGGTAAAGATGACCAATAGTGAATTTGTGCCGCCCTAATCCGCATTTATTAATTGAATTTTCACTCATTTTCTATTGTATTCACGAAAATTTTAGTTGTTAGATTTAAAAATCACATTTAATCATTTTTTGTTTATTTTTATTGAATAGAAGTTAGGAAAAATAAATTCAGTACTAAAGCATAGTTCTCGTGAGAATGATAATCCGGACTCAAAAGGTCCAATTTACTACTTGTCACGCTCCGTCCACTTGCGGGATATAATCGACAACAAGCTTTTGGCGTCGTTGCCGGGGACTATTATTTTTAGTCTTAATTTATTTATTTTTTTATCTTATTTTTAATTGTTATTTGATTTGCTTTTTTTTATTTATTTATAGAAAACTGTGTTCGTTGTATACTCCATACCCAAGGTGACGATCTTGAACTGTTTGATTTGGAAATAGAACGTACCTTCAGACGAAAACACAGGGAACACAGTAAAAAATAGCAACATCAAATGGTTGATAATTTAAACAATCATATTCCTATACAGTCAATTGAATAAACGGCCGCGAAAGCTCAACAGCAAAAGCAAATGGAAGTAAATGAAGGAGACTTGCCAGTTTCTAAGTTTTTGACGCCTATAGCAGTACCCGCGTGATCCAGTATAGTATATCCAGATTTTGGGGTAAACAACTTCCAGATACGGGCTGATTGGATTAATTTGATGAGTAACATTCTACAATTCTACGGGTTACCTCATGAGAATCCAAACACACATATCTCAAGGTTTCTCAGGAATTGTCATGCTTTTGGGGTTAATGATGACACCATCAAGCTACGATTATTCCCATAAACACTGAGAGATGCAGCGTTGAAATGACTAGATGCCAAATCGGATGGAAGTATTACCACATGAGAGGAACTAATCAGAAAATTCTGCAATAAGTTCTTTCCACCAACTAAAGTAGCAAAAATCAGATTGAAAATTCAAACCTTTAAAAAAATAGATGGGGAAAGCTATCACGATGCATGAAACAGATTTAAGGAGTTGATGAAGAAGTGTCCAATTATCGATCATGTCTTTCATTTTACTATTAAGCCTCATTTGACTCTCATTTTTCTAAAAATGAAAATGAAAAATATAGTCGTTACGGGACCTACACAAGAGATAGAAAGTCAAAGATGGTGACTTAGTATAATAGATAATGGTCATATTTTTCATTTTTATACCCAAAGAATGAGAATCAAACGGGGGGTAAGTTAATATAAGTCAAAACTCCTTTTTCAATTTATAAGTACACTTTGGTCGAGGATTTCATTATCGACTTAACTGAATAAAATGTAGATCATAATCTCTTACTAAGAGTGAAGAATCCTCTATTGATTATTTCAAAACTTTCATATGATTATTGACATACCCAAAATGATGTTGTATTAGTAGCCATTGGCAAAACAATATCCAATATTATCGAAGTATGACCGTCCTCATATAAGACACTATGATGATCTCAAGTCCAGGGACCAATTCCACTATTGAACATTAGATATTAACCACTGACACTCGGATAGTTATCCTGTAAAATCTCTCAAATGGGCTTCCAATGTTTTGTTCTATAATAAAACATTCACGTGTTCATTTAAGTGTCACCATACTTTAATTCGTGAGATCAGCTACTTTTTTCACAAGTAAGAAATATCACAGGTGATGATCTATTTATAATAACAATGTCTGTATCTTGTTATTACTTATGATCAATGATAATTTAAGATTCAGTCATCTGTAATTTATATCTCACAGTCATAACTCTTTATGATTAACAATCACCAAATCTTAAATCCACCAAACTCTATTATTTAATATCAGAATAGTGATTCAAATAAATAATATTTTTTTTCAAAATAAATACATTAAACATACAAAAGTGTTTATAATATAAATTGATTGGACCTATAACATAACACTTTCAAGATATGATGACAGAATCTATAGATGTGATGACAGAACCATTGGACAATCCAAATGTATCAGGAATAGTTGTTGAACGATGTCTTGATAAGCTTATATTACTTGCATCAGAATGAGAATTTAGGAAAAGATTTTACAATAATCTCAACAAAAACTTGAGAATTTGAGGAAGTGTCAGTCGATAACTGAAATATACTAATGAAGAACTTTTGTTCCCAAAACTACGCATATCTGGAGATTCGAAGACATTTTATTATGTGATAGTAATTTCTATAACATTTAACGATTTAATTTTTTTTTGTTAGTTTTCTTTTCGATGCTAGAATGTATTTGTAACATCCAACTGTAAAATAATCTGTTCTTCAAGAATTTTGTTCTCTGATTCTCTAACAGTGATTAAGAAGTTAATTTGAAATAAGTTTACTTACTATTAAGTAAGTAAATCAAATTTAAGAATAAATAAGTTACTTATTTTAAATATGATAAATGCTATAAAAAAGTCGTTGGCCAAACTTGCTCTGCTCCAATACGTCTGGCTTCACGCGCTATAGAGTTCGTGTTATTATGATCGGTATGTTCTGTTAGTTTATCCTTTCTGGCAAAGCAGTTATATTGAAACAGAAAAAGAGAGAGAGAGTAAACGCTGCTCCTAAGTCGTATGCGCAAAAATAATTATCTTGGGAAAAAGTTTCTTCTTTCTCTCACTGCTCATTGGTTTGAGCTTCAGAGATCGCACGACGCGATACAAGCTCTACAAATTTCAAATCAGAGATCTTAACTTCTACATTCAAATTATTCCTTTATCTTCTATTTTTTCTGAGTGTATCTGTATGTACACATACATATAATACCATATATATACAATAAAGCTGTGTTTGGTAGGTCAATAAATTGTAGTATATATCCGGTCAGGAGATATCCCTGGTGGGGTTTTTCTGGGTTTTCGATTTTGTCAAATGGGTCGTTGAGTTTTTTTTTTGGTTTTAAAGGAGGTTTTGTAGAGTAAGAAACTGTCTCTCGAGGGTTGTTAATAGCTTACTTTTTGCTATCTTTTATCTTCTATTAATGTAATTTTTCAATTTTGATGATTTCGGTGGGTAGTATGGATGGGAGAAAATTGTCGGGTTTAGGGTCAGAAATGGAAGTGAACGAACTCGAAGAAGGAGAGGCCGGCTGTTTGCTGAATGATGGCGACGCTTCTACCATTGACCCTGATATTACTCTCTCTTACATTGTAAGTTCATTTTTTTTATTAATTTTTCTTGTAATTAGTTTAAGCTGGATGCAGTCTAATTTATGAATATTCATAGACATCCTGTTCACTTGTCAATTATAAGCTGGATGTAGTATGATTTATGAATAGATATCCTGTTCAGTTCTCAATTATGTGTGCTATTTCTGTTTATTGTTAGTTACTTATGCCTAATAATTTCGTTCCAAGAATATGTTAATAAAAGGGATAACTGGTGTTTCGTATTTAATTAATTCTTGTTCAGACTTAGTTAAGAGAGATAAAAAATACTATGTTTGGGCATTATTAATGATGTATGGTACACTGTGTCTAGTTTTTGAACTTCCGAAGATGGCTAGAGTAGGACTAGAGATAATGATCTGTCATAAAGAGTTGTAGAAGTTAGTCATTGTTGGTGTCTTGGTTAGAATGTGTCTTTAATGTGTTATTTTGCACTTTTGAAGGGGGAGAAACTCCAAAATGTTCTCGGACATTTTCAGAAAGATTTTGAAGGTGGAGTTTCAGCTGAGAATTTGGGTGAGTTGACACGAAGAATGACTGATCACAAAAAATTCGAGGGTCACACTAATGTGGCTTAGAGTATGAAGTACTGATGGGACTTTAATTGCCTAACAGGGGCAAAATTTGGCGGCTATGGTTCATTTTTACCAACTTATCAACGGTCTCCTTCTTCGTCTCGTCCAAAGAGTTCACCCGAAGTTCATAACTATAGTGCGCCCAAATTCCTAAACAATCTGCATTCGGAGGTAGATAGTTTTAAATTTGAATCTATACTTTTTCTGTTCATGATTCTCTACAGCACAATGGAACAAGGACTTGTCTCCCCTGACATGAAAATTCTAGTTTACTTGAACACTCTGAGTTGTATACGATACAGGACAGTAGGGAAAACTCATTCGCTTTGACAAGTGATTCTCTATCTTCAAGGCCTGGAGCATCTTCAGGAAAGACTGCAGCCATATGCGATCCTGTGAAAAGGGATGTCTCCACCCTGTCCACACATGCTGAAGAGGTCACTTCAAACATCGGGCTTGTTAAGATGTCTGGTAATCCTTCTGAACAAAGAACTTTGAAGGTCCGAATCAAAGTTGATGCTGAAAATTTGTCGACACGACAGAATGCTGAAATCTACAGTGGACTTGGTCTTGATGTATCTCCATCATCTTCATTAGATGATAATCCAGTAGTTAATGAAGGTTTATGTGGTAACAATCAGGATGTGCCAGACAAATCTCCGACTAGTATTCTTCAGGTGAATAATAGTCCCTCATCATTCATCTCGACTTTCTGATTCTTTCTCTCTTTCTTTTTTTCATTTTTCTTTTAATGGTAAATCAACCTGATATTATGAGGTTTATTTTGACACTGTACTATTACTGCATCGGAACAGATTATGACATCATTTCCTGCCCACGGGAGCCTTCTTTTATCCCCTCTATCCGATGATCTGATTCGTCTCTTTGAAAAAGGAAAGTTTAGGGGGAAGATCCAATCCAAACTCGTGCATAAAGAAACCTTGGAAAGTTCTTTGATGTTAATTGGTGGGTCTCTATCTAGTAGGAGAAATCAGAAAGTTTTAAAGAAATGGATGTCATCTGAAAGGGATGACACATTTTCTACACAATTCATAAGCGAGAAGAACAACGATAGTCTGGTGAAGAAGGAAACTGATATTGACATTTTAGGTTGTGAGGAACTTGTTTCTAATGCTCTTAAACTCCCGCTTTTATCAAGTTCACAGCATGGTGATGGTATTCCTATGAATGGTACCTCTAGGGAAGTTGATATTTCTTCTAAAGATGGGGTGACGGACAAAACCTGCTCTGGACCGATAGAGAAGGAAATTTTCAGGAGTTTGTTTGCTCAAGATATTGACAGGGTTGAGGAGTACGATGAAGATCTGCATCCACTGGACAAGGTTTCGGAAAATAAAAATGCAAATTTTGGGTTTGACAGTGCTGATTTTCCACAGGATGATGCCCAAAAAGCAGAAAAAGTTCAATTTGAGTCAAATTTCTGTAAGGGGATAAAGGCTTCTGATGCTGAAGCGAAACAATTGGAAGTTCAGAAAGAAGCATACAGTAATGAGGAAGGTGTGAAACTTACTCCTGGAAAGGAGCATATATCTTCAGCATCCAGGAAGAAATCAAAAGAAGTTCAGAGTGTTTCAAAAGATCAGTTAATGCATGATTCTTCTTTGATGCCTAAAAGTAGGAAGGGCTCTCTTGGTAACAATCTTATGTCTAAAAATGATTCACTTGATTTCAAGAGGGACCATGGAAAGCCTGGAGACAGATATAAGGACTTCTTTGGAGACCTAGAACTTGAAGAAGAAGATAGTGAATCGATTTCAGGGGAAATCCCTTCCTCGAGAATTTTGAAGGACTCTCAGCTAATTGAAAAGAGGAGCATCATTGAATCTCACAATGCATCAAAGGAGAAAAGTGATGTTAAAAGAATAAAAAAGCCACCTTCCTATTCTGAAATGGCTTCGAGAATGGCCCCTCAAACTGTAAGTGGGCCCACTTCTGATGCTACCTCTGCAGGAGTGGATCCTTTTGTCCAAGAAGATTGGGTCCTGTGTGATAGGTGTCAACGGTGGAGACTTCTTCCACTTGGTACAAATCCTCAGAGTCTTCCTGATAAATGGCGTTGTAGGATGCTCACCTGGCTGTAAGTTTTGTCAATGTTATATTTATAAACTATTGGCTAGTAAAAAAGAACAACAATTTATCTCAAATATATATGGAATAAGGCTTATTTTGTTTCTGTAACAAGAAACGTGCTGCTCCAAAAGACATTCTGCATGCGCATGCATGTGCTTAGAGTACTCGACTCTTGATAATTTGAACATTTCTCTAGGCCTGGAATGAACCACTGTAGTATCCCTGAGGACCAGACTACAAAGGCTTTACGTGCCCTCTACCATCTTGCTCCTACTTCAGGTCCTGCCCCTGCTTCTGAGAGCCAACACAATCCCCTTAATTATCCTGCTAGGACTTTGTTGGGAGTATCATCAGCTGATGCTAAGTGTCTCGGTGATGAACGACAAAATATTTGTTCTCAAGATAGAGTCAATGGGAAGAAAAAACACGGGTCAATAGATGTGAAAAATTCAAATGACTTAGATGATCCCACTCACGTTTCAGACTCGCAGAAAAAGGACGTTAAGGTACCAGGCAAAACTGGAGCGAACTACTCTCCTTCTGTTGATGCATATCAGCATTTGCGCCACTCTAGTAGTGTAGTTGTAGAGAAGCACAAGGATGATAAGAAAGAGAAAAAGTCATCTCTAGAGGGCCATTCTGATAGAGGTATCTTAATTTAGTATGATTTTCCATTTAGCTTCTCGAACTTCTTTATCTGGAATCATCTAAATTGTCTTCTATATGTGTAAATAGGTACAAATTCAAAGGTAAAGAACAAGAGAGAGTCTGATTCAGAGAGCTTTAGAGTTTCTAAAAAAGTTAAGAGTGAGAATGTACATTTTGGTGATGAAAATTGGACCTCTGACAATGGTGGAGACTCCTCAAAACCAGGTCATAATTCAAGTAGTGGTTTGTTAATTAATGCTGCAGGGACTGATCGAAGAAATTCCAGATGTGATGCGAAGAAATCAGCTAAGAATCTGGAAATGGAAGCAGGGACTTCAGGTGATGGTTTGCTGTGGATGAGGGAATATGATTGTCAAAAATCTGTTACAAAGAGGAAAGAGCATGAATATCTTGATTTGCCTAGTGCAGAACAACATTCCAAAGACCACGAGGGTTTTATAGAAGAAACCCATGAAAGTAAGCACAGTAAAGAAAAGAAAACAAGAATATCCAAGTCCGAGGGGAAAGACAATAACAGAAGCAAAGGCAATGTAGCACTGGACAAAAATGGTAGGGGTATGAAGGACCAACAAATTGAAAATGCTATACAGCCCTCCGTTGCTGCCAACTCAAGCTCTTCAAAGGTTTCTGGGTCACGTAAAAACAAGCCCAGTGTCCATGAAATGAAAGGTTCCCCGGTTGAATCAGTGTCTTCTTCCCCTTTTCGGTATCCTGATGCAGATAAGTTTTCATCAGCAGGAAGGAACCCTGTCCTCAAAGATGAATTCCAGGACTCTGGAATTTTGACTACGGCTAGTCCAGGAAGGTTTTGGGGTGGTGAAGATAATGGGGGTGATGATCAATCTGGAATGGTGATAAAGGATTTAACTTTCAACGCCATCCATCACAGTTCACTAGATTCCCATGTTCTTGAATATTCGAATAGGAATTTGAGTAAACCGTATCACGATAAGGTCAAGGCAGAGAGTTTAGCTTGTCGTGATTTTGGTACTGAACATGTTACCAATGACCATTTTGATTGCTTAGGCCAAGTTAATGAAGAATGCCAGGATGAAGAAAGAACAAATACTCAAAACTGTGGGCATCAGACAAAGAAGTCTGGAAAGGGGTATTCTTCGCGGTATAAAGACAAGACTCATAATTCTAAATCCAACATTGATAAAGGTAAGAACGAGATTTCGGATTCTTCCTTTGAATCTGTAGGCCATTTGCATTGCTGTGAGAAAAAATTGACGAGTGGAAGAAACAAGTTCGACGAAAAATTTGTTACTCCTGACAAGGAGGACAAGATATTCATTTCTAAGAAAGATTTTGCTGAAGGAATATTAAGTGACAGTGGTAACGGAGAAAGTCAGTTAAAATTTGGAGGCCGTAATGGTTTGGATGTTACAAAAGGCCACGATAAAATGTATAAACTTCAGCGGGACCATGGTGACGAAAAATCATCCAGAAAGCTTCTATCATGTACAAGCAACCGGGTTGGGGTTGAATCCTCCAGTAGAGGAAAGTTACACTCACTACCACCCTTGGCAAGAGGCCAGGCTGAAACAGTACCAACTATTTCTGGATCAAAGAAAGAAAATGGAGAAAACATTTTGGTAATTGATAAATTTGAAAATTGTGATGCATTGAAGGCACATAGTCAGGATAAAAAAGCTGAGAAGAATGGAAGCCAGTCCTTTAATATAAGACATCCTACTCCAGAAGCGAATAAGGGTCGGGATCTTGAAGCCCCAAGTCCTATTCGAAGGGATTCCTCCAGTCATGCTGCTACAAATGCTTTAAAAGAGGCGAAGGCCCTTAAACACACCGCAGATCGTCTCAAGGTTCAGACAAATCCTGTTGAATCTGACGTAGTTATTGACATTATTATGTTGCCTGTTTCTTTACATGGTCTTCTATTGCAGAGTTCTGGATCAACTGAAAGTACAGGCCTCTATTTTCAAGCTTCCCTCAAGTTCCTCCATGGAGCATCTTTGTTAGAATCTGTAAACAGTGAGAGCAAGCGTAATGAGACAATTCAGTCAACTCAAATGTATAGTAGCACGGCAAAGCTCTGCGAGTAAGTTATATGCAAATGATTTATCTGAGATGTCTATGCTTCATATATTTAAATTTTTTTATGCAATTATTTTCTCTGTTGATTTTATGTTTGAGGATGAAACTTGTGAGTCTATAAGTTGTTTCTTTCGCTGGGCGCTTTGTGTTATTTCTGTGTTCTCTTTTAATGGATGAATGTGAAAAGCCATTGAATGTGTGGAATTTAAATCTGATGGTTCAGATTGTTTGTTTGTAACTTTTAGTATAATCTAATTGCTTCTTTAATGGAACTTTTAAGGGCTTGTACAGCTCCTTTCATGTCGATTAATTGTTTTCTGTTTATAGGTTCTGTGCTCGTGAATATGAAAAGTTGAAAGACATGGGAGCTGCTTCTCTGGCCTATAAATGCATGGAGGTCGCATACATGAAAGTAATTTATTCTTCACGTACTAGTGCAAGCAGGGATCAGAATGAGTTGCAAAATGTTCTACAAATTGTTCCACCTGGTAATTTGTGACAACATATTCTTATCAGGATTTCAGACTAAATCACACAGTCGGTATTTAATTATAAGATTAGCCGGCCTGATTTGAGATGGACGACATAACTAAGGATTACGGCTTTTAACATAAACCACTTTGTAGCCACAATTCGATTGGAAAATAATGATGCTGCTTAAAATTGAACTAAGTTTGCCTTTAAATAACAGAAATTGTTTTAGTTTTATGTTTCCTTCCGGGGAAAAAAAAAAAATTGCACTGGACTCTCAAATGATGTCTTCACTAGATGCTAATCTGTTTTAGCATTAATAAACTGCACAAAAATAATTGATAATGGAAATGTGTTTCCAAAGACTCCGCTGTGATATAATGGAATGCTCAATTTTATTGTAATTGTAGCTTCGTAGAAATTTCTTCGCCATTTTTTTTTGGTGAAGTGCTTGCTTTTCTTTCAGGAGACAACTTTCACAATAGTTATTCTCTTTTATAATTTTCATACTAACATTTAGGTGAATCTCCTTCCTCTTCGGCTTCTGATGTTGACAATGTGAACAACCAATCAACTGTAGACAAGGCTGCCTTTGCCAAAGGTGTTAGTTCTCCTCAAGTTGCTGGAAGCAATGTTATCACTCTAAGAAATCGTTCTAGTTTTACGAGGCTACTTGACTATGTAAGCACAATTTATCATTCAGGTGCACCACGACTTCTCACAGTAATTTGCATAAAGAGTACGATCAAGTATATCTTTGAAATAGTTGAGATGGTTTCCCTCCAAATTTTGGAATATGAGTAACTTGTTGAGCTTTACCTAACCATTAGAGGCGGTGTATGGGCATATCTCTCACATTGAGGGTGTACAACAATAAATATGTGCTATTGTGTGCTTTGCTTGTTTTATTTTTTGATTATGACTTAATCAATAATAATGATTCCAAAGCATTATGACCAAATCTGGTTTACAATTTTCGTACTTCTCGTAGCCAGTAACTTTTAGGGGGTTTTCTGGGCCTCAATCCTGTCAAGTTCACATGCATCTACTTTAAGTACAAAGTTACAAACCTTCATACAATGGCCTGGCACTTCTCTATGTTTGTTTCTTTCCCTGGGATATCTTTTTAGTGAAGGGGGATGGGGAAATTTTTGTGTCTTACATCAAATTTGTACTTATTGAGTTTCAATTTTTATAGGCACAGGACATTAGTTTTGCTATGGAAGCCTCCAGGAAATCGAGAATTGCTTTTGCTGCTGCCAATCCAAGACTTGGAGAAACACAGCATAGAGAGGGTATCTCTTCTGTCAAAAAGGCACTTGATTTTAATTTCCAAGATGTGGATGGATTATTACGCCTTGTTCGGGTTGCCATGGAAGCCATCAGTCGTTAAACTACCTCTTACACTTCAAAATAAGCCAATCCACGGTCTCTCCCCTTTCTCCATTTCCTATTTGTTATTGAAGGAAGAAAATAGAAAAGGATCTCTTATTCACCAAATTCTACATTCTAGGAACTCAATTAAATTAGCACCATTGTATATCTGTACAGTAATGGCTTGTTTGGTGGGGGGGATTTTGTAAGACTCTGGGCAGTATGAGAGGAAACAAAAAAGCCTAAAATATTACCTGTTGTACTGTCGAGTCCAGAACTGTGTACTATACACGTGTATTCTTCAATATGGCTGCTTGTGGATGAGAGTACTTGCCTGGAGTTTTTCAAGCACGGTTGATATTATCCTTAAAAGGCTTCTGCATGATTTAATGATCTACCACATAACCCAACTAACAATGATCACAAAAGTGATGGGGAAACCTGATCACTTGAGATAGTGGAATTCAATACCTTCGTCTCCATTATTGTTGGGTTGTTGGTGGAGTTCGAACAATTTTGCCCCCCAAAAAAATACCTTTTCCTCTAATCCCGACAGAATCAAGGAGAAGTTCATGCCAAGCTCTCAAATATAAATTTGATCCTATTGACTCACTGAGTTCCAGCTCAATCTAAGGCTGACACTGGACTTGCAGTCTCAGGTTAATTTCCATGTACATTTTATTCTTTGTATGTGACACATTTGTACTCTTTATTTGATCTGATCTTATATTTTCTGATTTTAATGTTTGCAGGTTTTGTCTTAGACTTCTCTCACAATGGAGACAATTAGCTTGCATTGTTCATAATAATAAGTAGAAATAAGTTGCTAAAACGTGGATGCAGAGCACAAAATAAATAAATAAAATGTTGTGTTTTATTGACATCAAGGGAAGGATTGAGATGATCCCTTCAAAGGTGTGTTATATTTACTTTTTGTACAAAGTTGATTTCTAAGCAATTAAAGATAGAATTTCATCTGTTGAAGTTCCTCTGGTTTATGTTGTCATTTCTGTAAATAAAAATTTCATATGAATTTGAAATTTCATCAAGTACAGTTGACAGGTCATTTGCTAATTTTCTTCACTGAATTCTTGAAATATGTATCTGTTGAATTGGGGAAAGCTTTGAAGTAAAATGTTCAGCTAATATTGGAACCTGTTGTTGGATTACGTGTTGACTTTATTTTTGTCCTGAGAAGAGCAAAAAAACCTGGAATGATCGGACTCGGCTGTGGATCATGAAAATTAGCATCTATGAAATGCCATTTGGTGTTTGATGAGGTAGTTATAAAATGAACACGTGGATATATTTTTTTTTAATCGATTTTTTCTATACACTAAAAAATCTGAGTAAGGAAATGTTCCTATCCAAGCCCAAATCCTCAATGAGACAAGATGTTTTGTCGTACTTGCATAATAATATAATTTTCCCAATTTTGTTTAATTTTTCGCTACTAGATTATTCGTGATCGCAAAAACTATGAAAATTTTAGATTAAGTGTTCGTTCGGTTTAGCTGAAAAAGTTAACAAAAATCCAAGTCTTCAACCGCATTTTCATGTGATTTATAATTTTTATCAATTTTTTAATCATATATTTTATCAATTTTTTTTATTAAAACGTTCAATAAATATAATTTTTAGCAAAATCAAATGTGGGCTAAATCTCTCTTCAACAGCAATCTATTGCATTGATGTTAAAAATTTGTCATTACCTTGGTAACATACGTATTAGGTTGGCTATTTATTTATACTGCATGCATGTTACACTTTTGTTATTAATAAATAAAATATAGCACCTCGAGTGGTCCATATAATAATTAATTTTTTTAATATTTACAACAATAGTACATTAATTTAACTAATAATATGTTCAATCTTAATTCTTACAAATTAATATAGTCCAATTTTATGTAATTTTTGTGCCTCTTTTTGTTGATTTATTCTTAGATTTGATTGTTAAAATCTTGGGAAGAGAAATATAGCGAGTTCACAATAATGAAGGGAAATGTAACCAAGCTTTCAATTCAATTTATTAGAACTATAGAAAAGACGCTAAGATAGAAAAATGGATATGTATAAAATTTAGGTCAATTTCATTAAGTTGGGCTTGGACTGAAAATTAGAAATAAGAAAATCATATTTTGAGTTTAGACTAAATTAATTAGTTACAAAATTTATTTTTTAAAAAATCAAATAATTTGCTTATTTAAGATAAATAAATTAAAAAAGATTAGTGAGATACAGTTCGTCGCTTAAAATCAAGAATCAAACCAAATTCGTTGGTTCTCGAAGCTGATTTTGGAGCTTAACGTTGGAACTTAATTATTATGAGCCATTTGTACCTTGTTCTTCGTATAAAACTAATTTTTTTATTTTTTATTTTATTTTATTTTTTTAACCTAACCTAACTATATATTCATTAATTAGAGAATTATTTTGCGGACGGAGGACACAAAGCTAGTAGCAGAAGTGGATGAGTCAAAAAGACGTTTATAGGGTAGAAAGTAACTTTGACTACGACTACCTTCGGAATATGCATGCATGCATATATTCGAATTCAGCTCTATCCAAGATTTTGGGTTAATCCAAGGAACTTAAGAAGAAAGAATTTTCAAATGGTCGGTTGAGTGGGTGGCTTCCATATTATAATCCGTATCAATTCACAGTACTGGTTAGTTCAAAAAGTTTTTTTTTTTTTTTTCAAATTAATTTTGATGTCATGAATATGATGTAAGCATTGTAATGTTCCAAATTAGGCCATGTTTGGTTTTGATTAGGAATGGCAGTAGATCGAATCGAGCCGGTTCGGCTCGTTAACCCACAAGCTCAGGCTCGGGCTTGGGCTCGTGAATTTTATTTTTTTTTCGTAAATTTTTCAAATTTTATTGATAAAATTTTATTTTTTCCCACATTTTTGGACGAGCCGGCTCGTGGGCTCGTGAGCTCGGCTCGGGCTCGTCATTTGACGAGCCCGAACAATCCACGAGCCGAGCCGACGAGCCGCGAGCTGACTCGGCCCAATTGACATCCGTAGTTTTGACCGCAGAAACAACTCTAATTCTTTAAGCATCTCAGTGGGTCGGCCGCTGGCCATTATTTTTTCAATCAGTACAAATTAAGGCTCGGAGGGATTTACTCAAGATTTTAAGTCCAAATATGACCGTCGACTGTCTTTCCATTGTTACTAGTTACGTATTTACGTCGTCATTAGAAAATATCACCTAAAAAATGATAAACGTCTGTAGTACCCTTTTCATTACTTTGAATTACTTGTACACATTTGAAAACGGTGATAATTTAGTGACAAGACAGACAAAAGCAAAATCTACAATGGGCCCACTTCTGAGTTGCCCAACGGTCATAAAAGGGGTGTTTGATAGACATTTTTATGTAAAAATATATTTTATAATAGTAAATTGATGTGAAATGTATGGTTGAGAAATAATGAAAAGTTTTTTATTTACATGTAATATTATTTGAATAAAAAATGTGTGGTTGAAAAGAAAAGAGAAAAAAATGCATTTTGAAAAAAATGGCTACCAAGCGGGGCCAAAATAGCTTCAAATCTTGGAAAATTCTTTCCTAACAAGTGGTCATTTATTCTAAGGTATATATTTCCCAATTTGTCCACATAATCTTTATTAAATTTATAGTAGTTGGAACATATAAAAAAAATTGGAATAATACAACACTAAGAGTTTATATGGAAAAGTTTAAAATTGAAGGATATAACGGATTATCAAAGACGAAGATATTTTACTAAATGAAAATTATTACAATCATATTGAATTTCTCGACCATTCAAACCATCAAATTTTACAGAGAAACAATTTAAATTTTACCACCCAAAATTTTCTACGAATAATGACAGCATTTTGGACCTAATATTCCTCGAAATTTTGGCACCGTCAATTGCCAAATATGGAATCTTTTCCAATTTTCATTCCTTTCCTAACGTGGCATGTTAATTGCACCGATAAATTAAAGGACGTTGACCTTCGAAAGTGACGTGTCCAAGAGCCAACAAATCTTAAATCTTCTTCCATCCATGTATACATTATCTGCACACTTGAACGTACTCGATAGAAGCACAGACCTGTCACTTCAAAGGCGAATGTGCAATAATCATATCCACTCCAATGCTCCAATCAAATTACTAATTATATTTTAGGTATGAAAAAAGCATTAAAGATGAAAATACAAAAGTTGGGTTTAAACTATACCATAAATGTTAAGTTTGCTTTCAAATGACAGAAAATATTGAGTAAATGTAGGCCAAAATGTTGTGAACAAGGCTTCTTGTATGCTTGACACGTGATTTCATCCTAACAGCTCATACGTCCAATTTAATAATGTCATATATTAGCCATCATAGGTCAGTTACCTTCCACACATTGTCCTAAGCAAATTGGAAGGGATGGACATCAGCTGCCTTGGAATTTAGAAACCCACATGACGTGGCCATGGGTTGGGTCATGTTGGGCGCGGAAGCTCCGATACCACTTGTTATTCCAAACTGAATTGTAAATAATAATATTTAATGACAATATTGAAGTAAACAAAATCACACCACAAAAACAAGATTTAAAGTAAAGAAGAACAAAAATGATTAATTGTAGAGAAATGCTGTTTATTATTGAACAACATGGAGAAAACAAGTACAACTTAGCAAAATTGCTTATCACAAAACTAATAGAGGAGCCTCATATTTATAGGGAAATATTAATCTCTAGAAGTAGAATTGTAGATGAAATAAAATGCCTAAAAGTTTCCTTATTTGGACTCTTCAAGTCCAACTCAATTCCAACTCCCACTGGGCTTCAAAATAGAATTTGACAATTAAACTTGAATACGATTCTTCAAAGCATTTCAATTAGAATTCCTCTTGATGTGCATTTCAACTAGAATTCTACAATTATTTGAACAAAACAGTTCGGGTCATCCAAAATTCTAACAATTTCCACCTTGACATGAATTCCGGTGCAATCGAATGAAACCCCTAGATTTCAAATCCGTCTGCATCGAAATGAATTGGCAAATCTCCTCAACGCAATAACCAAACACTCCATATAAACCAAATAATCGTCCTCTGCCTGACGTCCACAAGCGATACCTGAATCCAATCCCAGGGTTTCCAAAATTCCTCATCGGAATTAATGTTGATCACACAAGGTCGAAGCATACCCTGAAGCAAGAACCAAATCAGATGCCTGATCAGAAGGCACCTTGCTGGAATTGTTCCCTTCAACGTCTCTAGAAGCATCCCAGACATTACTGGCACCACGGTGTCTACGCTCGATGAGTCCAATCCCAGCAACTGAACACAATGTACCTACTGAAATTGGTGGCAAAGCAGAATTACCAACGTTCTCCTTACCAGTGATCTGAACTGATTCAGAGTCTAACATAAGAGGTACTGTACAGAACTGAACTTCCACCACAGTACTAAACTTGTCCAAATGTCTTCTCTTAACAGGTTCTGCACTCTCTTGTAAAATGTACAATTGGGATATTCTCCGTCCCTCCAGTACAACCCGGACTCCCATTTGGACCTTCAAGACTCCACCTCATCCAAAAAATTTATACCCTTTTGCGTCCAGGGCACTCACGGAGATAAGATTCCTCTTTCAAAAGTGTTCTGACCATCCCATCCTGCAATCGCAATCTGACTTGACCGATTCCAGCGATACTGCAAGACTGATTGTTTCCCATTACAACTCCACATTGCTGATCAGCCACATATATCTGAAATAAATTCCTATCGAAACACATATGGTACGAACATGCCGAATCAAGAATCCACTCTTCGTCAGCCCTAGATTCCACATCAGATACCACGGTCAACATCACGTCTCAGCTATATGAAAATTTCTCAACTACATTGATTTCGTCTGAAGTCAAAGGTTGAGCTCCACGTTTTGCAGCTAAATCATCTCTAGCTTGCAACATATCGCAATCCTTTCGAATATGTCCCTTCCCTTTGCAATAGTAACAATACACATTGCTAAAGTTGACTTTCGATCTGCCTCTCAGTCGACCACCTTGAGATACAAGAGCTTGCCCATCCCTTGATGTAGTTCCAACCAAATGCTTCATCTTCTCTTTTGAGTGCAAAGCATTATAGATATCGTCTATAGTAAAGTATCTCGACTATATAAGATGGTGTCTCGAAACGACGCATAAGAACTAAGTAGCGTACCCAATAGGATCAAGTTAAGATCCTCTTCATCGTACTTAACCTTCAATGTTTCCAAATCTACAACTATTTCCTTGAACACAACAATGTGATCTTCCAACGATCTTCCTTTCACCATGCGATGGGAATACAGCTTCTGTTTAAGAGCCAGTTTACTAGTAAGACTCTTAGTCATACGTAACTGCTCTAGTCTCAACTACAAAGCAGCTGTTGTCTTCTCCTTCAAGACATCTTGTAGAATATTGCTGGATAAATGAAGATGAATCAACTACACAGCCTTTTGATCGTTCCGTTTTTTCTCCTCCATTGTCCAATCAGCTGGCATCTCCTCAAAACCCAGTAACGCATCGTCCAAATCCAATTGCGCCAAAACAGCTCTCATCTTTACTTGCCACAAAAAAATCTTGTATTGCGATCTAGTTGCAGAATATCATACTTCAACCTAGTCATCCCGAAAAATCTCAACCAATCTACGAAAGGAACTTGACTCTGATACCACTTGTTGGGCGTGGAAGCTCCGATACTACTTGTTCATCCCAAACTAAATTGTAAAGAATGAAGATTAGTTTAACTATGTCAATTTCTACTGATATCATGCTAGTATTTATGTTTTGATCATATTCGAAAATTGAAAATATTAAAAGACAATTTGAAAACTCTAAGGTTCCGTTTGATTGTAAAGATGAAATTTTGTTGGAAAGAAAACGAATTTCAGCGAATCGAATTACCTAGAAATTATTTGAGAATTGTAAATTATTGTGTTTGATTGGTATAATTTTTCATGTGGAAAATGTTGAAATAAAATTATTTTTGATATTCGTTTGACTTTGTTTTACATGAAAATTGTCAATTAAAGAGATAAAATTTACTGATATTGGGATGAAATTTGTTTCCATTGTCAAAAGAAAAAAATTCAAGAAAATTATCTATCTTTTGGTGTTCGTTTGACTTTGTTTTACATGAAAATTGTCAATTAAAGGGAAATATTTTTTTTACAATAATTTTTAGAATTTGTTTCCGTTGCAAAAAATAAAAAGTAAAAAAATTGAAAAAAATAAAAAATCGCTACAATAACAGGGAACTTGGTGAGAATTTCAATTCAAGGAAAAGATGGAAATTGACTTGTGTGACAAGAAAGTTGTAAAATGAATTCTAGGAAAAATTTTGGACATCAAACAACCAAAAGTTGGAAAATGGAATCTTTCGCGAAAAATAAATAGATATCAAACATAGCCTTAATAAAATTTCAAGTTTTTCAAATTTTTAATAAAATTATAACCTTAAGGAAACTTTAGAAGAACTTTTAAAGTATTTAAATATTTGGATTAAGAAATGCACATTATTATAAACTTTTTTATGGGCTTCAACTATGCGTTATCTAGAATATATTTAGCAAGTATTTATAAACGGTAAAAATTGGTTATGAATTAATATTTATCAACACGATCCAACACTCTTTTATACATGTCTATAAACACTTTTACTTCCCAATACTTCAGCACAACTTTTACATAATCTGAGGCTTTAATTCTGACACTACAATAAATTTAACACGTAATTAAAGTTAATATTAATTTTAGATAGATTTTAAATAAATTAATAAATATTTAATTTACGAAAATAAATTATAATTTTAGGTACAATGTTATCAAGTGTCGTGTCATGTCGCGTTTTCTTTCCCGTCTCCCTTTTCAACACAACCCAACTGAATGTGAACGTACTCTATATATGTCTACCAACTATAAGACACCAAGTCCAAGGGATATATAACATAAAATGAACTTTATAAATTTCCGTCTCACTTTAGTAGTGTTGATAATTATTTCTATAATAGGTTAACTGTGTAAACAAACATACATATTGTTTGCTACTAATTCCAGTTACTAAAAAATATCTAAATTTTTATTTCTTATCTTTATATTTCAATCATAGTAGTTTGGCTAATTTCTAACCATCAACTTGCATCGATCTTGAGCAACAAAGTAAGTATTAAACAAGATTCCCAAGTTAGATTATTCTAGTGGTAAGTCTCCAAGTGAATGGCTCAACAATATTACATTTGTCACCTTAAAATTAGAATTGGAAAAAGAAAAAGGAAAAGCATCTAATGTGAACGATTTCATATCGCTTTTCTTTCACTTGTCAATTCAAGCAGAGTAATTGGATTTCTTCGTCATGTAATGAAATATAAATGTCTAGTGTTGGTAAAAGAAAAAGAGAAGGATATATGCCAAAGAATCTCCTATTTAAATTAAATTTAAGTCTATAGAATTTTAAAATAAATGCATAGTAAGCTATAAAATTTCTTTTAATTGTTTATATAGTTATATATTTCCCAATTTACATTCAAAACCAAATTCCTTAGGGTGGATCCAACCCTTTATCAATTATCCTATTCCATTAGATTGGCTAAGTTCACATTTTTGTATGACTATAGTCTCCCTATAAATTTTTGTAATACTCCAAATGGTGATTTAAATAAAAATAAATAAATATATATTTTGCAATGGTCGGCAAATATAGTATATGTATCTTTGGACGGTGTTTGGATGTCACCTTATTCACACAGACAAATAGAGATAAAAAGTGCACTAATTCAAAGCATCTGTCGTTGATCAAAATTGGAAGAAAGCCTCAAATTCAAAATTGGTATCAATTCGTTGTATCATTTCACCGAAATAGAAAATTCCGTAGAAACCTACAATAGCGATCAAGATAACCATCGTTTTACGTATAATAATTGATGAACGACAAGAATATTGATGATGAGAATCATCACGAATAAACAAGATATTTTACAAATCGCATGAGGAGCGACCAAAGTACATGAAATATAAATCATATTTCTTATTACTCTTTAGAGCATCTCCAAGACACTTTTCAGTTATTGAAAACATCTTATTCATTATAAAGAGCCAAAATTTTTATACACTTTAACAATGCTTTCTATTTTAACTCTTTATTTTGTTTTTCTCGAGAAGCATTTATCGATTTCTCCTCATATTTTATTTAGCGCAAATTTTTATATGTCAATAACTAATGGTCTGAATACTTTAAGTAGATATTGAAATCTATAACTTATTAAATTCAATCATTGTATGTTAAGATAAATTGTGAGTTTGGCTCTCTTGAAGTTTATTTTTAAGTATTGACTCTTTAAAATAAAGAGTATTTTGTATGTAGAGAGTCTTTTGAAGATGTTATTAATCCCAATCTAATTAGTAAAACTATCTTCAAACTTATATTTCTTTTTTATTTTCGGCATAAATAAGTACTCCGCTTAATTTGGAGGTAGTTTTTATTTTTTTATTTTTTTTTTAAAAAGTAATATTTCTTCATTTTCCAATAATAAATATCAGTGGATCCAACAGTTCCTCATGATTCCTACATATGTACACATAGAAAGGCTAAAGCACTACTGCACATCCATATAAGTTCTTATCCTACGCTGCTGCTGCTGCTACTTACTCGATCCAGCAATGGATGCCAAAGAAATATATGGTAACAGTACAGCTCAGAAAGAAGAAGAGATAACAATAAGAAAAGGTCCATGGTCTAGCGATGAAGACTCAAAACTCATTTACTATGTTACCATCCATGGCGAAGGAGGATGGGAAGCCCTCGCCCGTAATGCAGGTAATCATGATCAAATCTCCTCGTCCTCTCATAGAGTAAAATACTAATTCAAGATCATGTCTCACCATCTTTTACTACAACATTGAAACCAACTTTTTTCTAGGGAGATGATACATGTACGTCAAGGTTTACATCATGTCACATGACATTCTATCATTTGCCCTCATTTTCAATCATTGCTTCTGGCAGATTTTTCTGTACAAACAGCAAAGTCCTGTTTTTTTTTTATGTAACATTTTTCCCATTGATGAAGGGTTGAGGCGTACAGGTAAGAGCTGCAGATTAAGATGGTTGAACTACTTGAATCCAAATGTTCGACGAGGAAACATTACTCCTGAAGAACAACTTCACATTATAGAGCTACACTTGCAATATGGAAATCGGTAAATGCAAAAACATTTCAGCAGCTTTTTGTATAATCGTTTTTATTTATGTCATTTTTCAACTCGATTTTCATTCATTACTTAGTTTCTGAAAAATAAAATTTAATGAAGGTGGACAGAGATTGCGAAACGGTTACCAGGAAGAACTGATAATGAAATAAAGAACTTCTGGAGAACCGTAATTAAAAAGCAAGCAAAGCAGCTAAAATGCGACGTGAACAGCGTAGAATTTCGTGACATCCTGCGCAGTATATGGCTTCCAAGCATATTGAAGGAACAAATGCATCCAAAGATCGAAGCTAATTTAGAATCCCAGTTGAATAGTACTGTCACTGAAGTCTCTACTGATTTTGATAACATGAATTGCCAGAAATTAATGACAGAGTCTGAAGTCCATCAAACTGGATTCCTGCCGGTGGAAATGAATTGCCAATCCAACAAATCCAATGTTTCAGTACTAGATGATTTCGAAGATGTTAACTGGTATTACGATTGTTTATCTGAGCAGAAATTTGGCTCTGAAGTGGTGTATAGCCCTTTCATCTATGGTTTCGATGGAAATGAGATTCAGTCTGAGGATTCACTTATAATCTCGTTAAATGATGAAGACTTCTGGGATTCTACGTTAACGAGTTTCAATCAGTTTTGAAAGTGCTTATCCCATGCATAAAATGATAGTCTAGCACTAATAATATAGGCGAATGATATATCTATGTCACATTTTACACAAAATGGTCACCCTTAGATTAATATTTTTATCGTTTTATCAATTCCTCCTAGTACAAGGTTCTCATCTACCGAACCAAGAAAAAAAAAAAAAGAAGAGACGCATCGAAGAAATCGAGGCCTTTAGAAGAATTGGCATAAGATGGAAGTGCAGAAGTTAATTCAATCAAGCTTGTTGCTTTATATGCTATTTGTAACAAGTTTTGTGCTGCAGAGGGATTTCATTTCATATTAATGGAAGAATGCACAGGTAAAATTTTTGTTTATAGGCAATTGAAGCAAACTTTTAGCCATATCATGCTCGTGAAAATGTAATATGCTGGAAGCAGCATTTCGCAAATAGATTGTGTAAATTATAAATGTCCACAGGGAAGTTGTTTATCGGTTTCCAAGTACATAAATCCATTTGTACATAGAATACGTGTATCATATAGACTACAGTTCAATACATCAATGTCTCAAAAGATACATGAATTAACTCTTACCATATAAAAATTAGGTCTATACTCTCAACATCCCCTCAAACTTGATATATGGTAACTCCGAGCAATCTCGAAACTTCGAAAGTACATCAATTTTCAATGGTTTGATGAAAATATATGTGATTTGATCTTGAGACTTCAGAAAAGAAACCACTCCTTGCCCCCAACAAACCCAAATCCTACAGTTCCCGCCATAGACGCAGCATTCCACTTTGGTCAATCATAGATAGAAGATCCAAACCTCTGTCCACGAACTTTAACTTTAGATGTTGTTTGTCAATATAATCTCGAAATAAATCATATTTCATATCGATGTGCTTTCTTGTTGTCAACAAAAATCCCAATAAGTTCCATCTTAAAGATCAACATTTATTAGTATTGAGTAGCTCAAACTCTTACTTTTTTTTATATAGCGCAAAAGTGGCATGATTTATTAACATCGGAAAAATACATAATATAAAACAGAAGGGGCTTGACCCAACTACCAACTAAAGGTAAAAAAAAAATCGTTCTACCCAGTTTGGAGAATGGGAATACATAATACAAAATGAAAAAACCTATACTTCATTTCTCCTAAATCCTAATATGCATACTCTTTGTCACCATACGTTGCCGCATTAGATCTCGCAAACATATCATTTCATCCCAATTTTGAAAATACATATTAAAAATTGTCGTTCAATCTTCACACAGGTAGACATTTGATATGAGAAATAGACAAACATTTATATGTTTTATATTTATTTCATCTTTAATTGTTATGGGATATTACTAGTAACGACAACATCCATGATAGGCGAATTTTGAAACAAAGTCGCATTTCTCAAAATATTTCAAAATTGTATTTTAACTTGAATGGTTTGAAGCACAACTTCAGGGGAACAGTTTTTTAGCTAACCTAATATATATCAATTTAATACCGGAGATATTTGCAAAACCCAAAATTAAGTGGTCCACCTAGTGTTTTGTGGACGAGGAACAAAGTTAGCATAAAAGCATATCGTAGGTGGATGAGTCAAAAAGATTCAAATACTAAATTACTTTTGTTTGTTCAACAGTTCCCACATTCCTACCTTTTGGAAAAATGCGTGCTAATTGCAAAGTTGCTCTTCTGCAGTTTATAAAAAAAAAAAAAAAAAAAAAAAAAAAAAAACTAAAACCGACTTAGTGTAAAATGGAAACCAAATATATATGCAGGCAATGTAAATATTTACAAGAATATGACAAAACATTTTTCTATTTGTAACAAACAGAACTAATATTTCATGTAATGGCTATGTGGCATCCTAAAGGTAAAAATGATAAAATAATAGATATGACAATGTCTTTATATTAAAATGTTTAAAGACGTCCTATTTTTATTTTCATTTTAACCCTTTGTTGTCGTGACACACTTAAGGATGGGCGCGGGTCGGCTCGGTTCTAAAGAGAATCGAACTGAACCAAAATTTTCGGGTATTTAGTAAATGGAATCGTCGGGTCCAAATATAATTATGGAACGGTTCTGTTCGGTTCTGTACTATAATTAAATTTTTTAACATTTATAACAATATTATATAAATACAACTAATGATACATTCAATGGTTTTGAAATGTCAGAGATTAGTAGACTACCTTATTCAAATGATCGCTATAGTCAAAATTTCGGTTGGCAAAGGTCACAGCTTCGATCGGATGTCACAGCGTCAGTCGACGATTGTATAGGTTTTGTAATGTTAGCGAGACTGCGAGAGTCGAGACAGCGTTATGCACTTTAGTGTAGGTGTTTATGGTTATTTAGTGGGTTGAATCTTGTTAGGCTAAGAAATGAGACAATAAAATAGGTAATTAGCCAAAAATTAAAAAATTAGAAATGAAACAAATTATTGGACCAAAAATTTGGATTTAGAAATTGTTAATTTGTTTAGAAAAAATTAAAATTAAAATAATTTAATTTATTCAATATATAAAAAAAATTTAGAAAGATTTGGTTCTTCGGTTCTTGGTCTAGAACAGATAACCGAACCGGACCCGTCGGTTCTCAATTCAAATACCCGTTCGGGTATTTAATTTAACAAGAACCGTCGGGTTCGGTCCGATTCAGTTCGGGTTCAGTTTGGTTGGTTTGATTCGGGAGATTTGCCCAACCCTAGACACACTGGTAAGTTGACACGCAACGCGATGATTACTTGAAAGATCCGTTATATGTCTATCAATTAACATCAAGTTCGAAGATAATGGTAACCATTATTGAGTGGTGAAATTTGAAATCAAATCGATATTCAGTGATCCAATTAAAACTAAATAAAAATTCAATAATTCAATCGAGATAAATCAAAATTCAATGACACGGTTAACATATTGCTAAAACTTCGTGACACCGATGAAATTCACCCGAAGTTGTAGCATCATGGATTATTTTTTGGTGGCTGATACGGATGTGTTTTCTAAGTACGGACTTTCTATAGTGTTAACCGTACAAGGATAAAATGAGAGAATCCACAACGCAATAAGAAATATTGAACTTTTGACCAAAGGCAGGCATTGAGCCACTAGCTTATTCCTCATCTTTATTTCTTTCTATTTTATTATCTTTTAATTTTGTTATTAATAAAAAAAAAATCCAATGTAATTTTGACATCATGATTATGAGATCAGCATGTTCCAATTATATTCTTGACCCCATGTTTGGTCTTGACTGCACCAATCTCCGCGTAAAGACAATATTCTTTGATCAGTACAAAGTAATTAAGATTATGTTAGTATTGACTTATCCTTAACTAATTTCGATCTAGAACTTTCAGAGCAATGCAACAAAAGGGTTTATTAATTTTAATTAACATTTTTTCTACCAATTAGAGGACAAGAAGTTCAAGGAGTATATGATTCTGTGAATTGTATTTTTTTATCACCATTAACAAAGTTTTATTCCCTCGTCAAAGATATAAAATTACTTTTATGACTTACGTGAGATTTTTCTATTTTTTGGTAATTACTTCGATAATTCTATAATAGTTTGCATAAATTTAGGAAAATTGGAATTGCTCCCCAACCTTAACCGTGACGTGATTATCGGTTCTTCACAACCTAGTTAAGTTTGTAAATATGATTATCCGTGTATCTGAATAACTATTTTGAACGTTAGAATCTTACATGACATGAAATTGCAACTTAACATTTCGCTTCGATATAAGTTAAGGAGCCGAAATTCACAGATTTAAATAGATTGAAGATCTAGAACTTCATTTGAAGATTTTGGACTTATATCCATACTATGTAGAAGATTAAGGAGCCAAATCTTATTGCGTCGAGTCAAGAATATTATGAAAATCCACACGAACAACATTATTTTGTAGTCAACTTGAACTTAAAATAGGGAAGTCGAAAAGGAAAAGCATTAATGTGAAAGTAATTCTTACTTTTGACTAAAAACTTACCACTTTCCTTTGACTTAAGAGATAATTGGATTCCTTCACCATATAATTTAACTATAAAGGCCACTTTATCTACCTAGTGTTGGTAAAAGCAAAGAAGAAAAGGATATATTCCCAAGTGTTCCCTAAATTCCCAAGTTTTCCCTATATATTTGAATAAATTAAAACTTACGACTTAAATTTCTCTTCAATTTGTGTCGGGGATCCATAGTAAGGTTAACCTAATTTGGCGATGCAAACCAATTATCCATGTCTAGCTGGTACTGCTTCTTGTTCGAACATCTCCAAAATTACCCTTCTAAATTTATTACATAATGATAGTCCAAATAGAATTAACACATCCCACCTCTACGTCTTCCATTGAAAAGAAAAACTACACACTATAGAGGTTCACATTAATTATCTCCCTATGTTATGATGCTAGCTAGCTCTATAATCTTAACTCTCATTGTCACAAAATTCCCAAAGAATGATGCGATTTGTAATCACTCACTGTCGCAGTCACCATACATGATATAAATGTGACGGTTAGGGATTTGATTTATGAGGTAAGAAAAACTTTCACATTAATACATCAAATTAATCATAAACGGTCATGTAGGATGTTATATAGGACGACTATCACGGAGAGTGACTGTGAATAACATTACTCATTCCCAAAACCCTAAAATTTATTTCACAATTTGCGTGCAAATATAAATGTATCTTTAAACGAATGACCTTCTTCACACATATGGATAGAGATCAAAGAAAAGCCTAATTCAAAGCATCAATCTTTAAGAAAAGATTTTAATTATTACTAGTGGATCATGACTAGAGACAAATTAGTATCAATTCAGAACCAATATTCATAATCAAGATTGGCATTCCACCTATAAAAATTAATATTCAATTATTTAACCTTTAAGCTAACATACATAATTTCTTTTAATTTAATTTCAGAGGATCCAATAGTTCCTCGTGTTTCCGATATAAACCTCTCACATGCATATACGCACTAATCCGAAGCTGCTGATTCTTCTAAACCTAGCAATGGATGCCAAAGAAATATCAAGTAAGAATGAAGGAGATAAAAGCATAAGGAAAGGTTCATGGTCTAGCAACGAAGACTCAATACTCAAAGACTATATTGCCATCCATGGAGGAGGAGGATGGGACGCTCTGGCTCGTAAGTCAGGTAGTTAATATTGCGTAACAAATATGCACTTACTTAGTTCATGTTCCAACCTCAGAATTTTCTTCTAAAATTAACTTGCACGCTTTAATTTCAAGAGATCATGTCTAACAATCTTTTATATATTACGAGATTGAAACTAACTTTTTAACTAATGTTACACTTGTGCCATTGATTAAGGTTTGAGGCGTACAGGTAAGAGCTGCAGATTAAGATGGTTGAACTACTTGAATCCAAATGTTCGACGAGGAAATATCACTCCTGAAGAACAACTTAGTATTATAGAGCTACACTTGCGATATGGAAATCGGTAATCTAAATTTTCTTTTGTTCTTATAATTCAATTCTATTGTTTATTTTTCCTTTCATTACTTAGTTTTCAAGTTAATGATGAAGGTGGGCAGAGATTGCAAAACGGTTACCAGGACGAACCGATAATGAAATAAAGAACTACTGGAGAGTGACCATTAAAAAGCAAGCAAAGCAACTAAATTGTGACGTGAATAGCATACAATTTCGTGAGATCATGCACTATATATGGCTTCAAAGCATAATGGAGGAACAAATTCATCCCACGTCCGAAGCTAATTCAGGATCCCAGTCGTGTAGTACTGTCACTGCAGTCTCTACTGATTTTGACCACATCAATTGCCAGAAACTAATGACAGATTCTGAAGTTCATCAACCTGCTTTTGGGCTGGTGGAAATGAATAGCAAAGCCAACATGGGTTTTTCGCCCGAGCCTATGGCCGACGTCTTCCCAGTATATAGCCCTTTCAGCTATTGCTTTGAAGGAATTGATGAGATTCAGGCGTCCATACACGGCGGAGACTATTCGTTGGGTTATGAGAATTCACTTACAATATCGTTAGAGGATGAAGATTTGTGGGTTTCTACATCAATGGGATTCAATCAGTTTTGAGTGTTTACTTCATGAATGAAATCATACTAATAATATAGTTAAGGAATAATCCATGTCAACACTACCAGTATTGTGACATTTCAAATGAATTGCTTTCAATCAGTTGTGGAAGTGTTTGCCTATCCAACACAAATCTACAATGAAATTGGATTTGTACATAAATAAAAATAACATACATAATATATGAAAATATAACTGGCCTCCATTTGGGAAGAATATATGAATTGTTTCATTTATTAATGAATGGAAATGAATGGTGAATATATGAATAGTAGCTGTAGATTTATTGCAATATGTGATTGAAAATGAAGTTTGACGTACATTTTATAAATTCTTAATAAAAATTTTGCAAACAGGAGGCTTATATGAAAATAAATTGTTCAATATAGGAGCCTACAAAAATTCATCTCGATTGCAATATGTTTAGGACCATGTGTAGCTGATGTGACAAAAAATAAAAAAAAATAAAAATAAAGGATTTTGTTTAGATGTAGAGACTTTTCTAGACAAGGTTCGTCATCATAATTTTATATTTCTCTTGCTTTCTTTCTATACTTCTTATTCCTTCTTCTTCTTGTTTATTATATTTCTCTCTCCAATAAAATATGCGTTAAAGATGAAATTTAAATTATAGACTAAATTCATAGTAGTAAACTCGATTTGGCCATCTACTTATTAGACACTAATGCCATGTAAATAGGAAAGCCTTCTTATTTAGATATCACATAGATTGCAATTTTAGAATGCATTAGAAATAATGTTCTAAACACCCGAACCGAAACCCGATGTCATAGGTTCAAATCCTACAGAGTGTGATTTTTTCTTCGTAAATCGAATTAGAATGAAATAGATTCATTTACTTGCACAGCAATCAGAATTTGACCTCCTGTGGATTAAAGAGAGGCTAGTCTATAGGCACCTCTATCTGTAATGCGGGAATTTCTTGCTCAAGCTTCTGGATCTAGGAAGGAACTGCTCGGGGAGGACCACCACGGCTCATCTCTTTTTGAGAATCCATACATCCCTTATCAGTGAATTTATTAAGAAAGAGTAATTTTATTTAACTCGAATTGAGTTCATCGTCAACCTATGTGGCACTGGGATTACTATTAAATAGACTAAAGATTAACTCTATTCATAGATTAACTCCATTATCGCCTTTATCTTTTTTGGATTTGCTTTGACACTTTGCTAAGTTGACCATTTATCCCAAAAATTTTACAATCTGACCCCACACACATTAAGGGGGTTGAGCTTCATGCAGTAGTTTCACTACGTGCCGCGGCGAACCCATCAAGTGCCCAATGGGGGCGATTGCCCTCTTTGAATTCATAATTTTTTTACAATGAAAAAAAGGCTCCCATAATAGTAGCCCATAATTTTTAACCCAAACCCGATAATCTTAAGTCTTTAATATGAAAAAAGAAGCCCACATAATTCTAATTTTCCACTGAATCATACTTCCTTTCCCCCTATTCTCTAACCCTACGAACCCCCGAGGAAATAGACCGAAATAGCCATTTGATCCGGTCATATTGCCACAATGGCCTTTGACCATTAAAAAAAAAAAAGTTTGAAACTTAGAATAGAAATTTTCGTTGTCAAAATTGACCTCATCTTCGACAAAGATAGGAGAGGAGAGGAAAAAAGAAAAAAATTCGCACAATCTTTACAATCGGGATCCTGTCGAAATTGCCATCCTCATAGTCTACAGAACGCCGACCACCAAAAAACTCAATAATTATTTTTAACAAGGTTAGTTTTTTTGTGGGATTGAAAGATTGATTTTTTATTTTGCATGTTGTGTGAATTTGTGCATTAATTTTTTCTTTATGATATTTATTCTTCACTGTTTAGGTAAACTATTGGGTTTAGGATGAATTTTGGCCAAAAAAAGCTTTATGTCGTTGGAAACAGGTGATGCACTACCGGCTTCTACCGACTGTGCTTAAAGTCCGCCATTTTTCCTTCTTTTTCTCATTTGGTTTTTCTTTTGTTTAATTTATTTTGTTTATATTATAATGTTTTTGGAAATAGTTTTAAAATTTCTTAATTGTTTTGTTCATATTACAGATAAGTTTTTTTGAATTAAAATTCTTTTTAATTGATAAAACTTTATTTTTTTCAATTTAAATTAAATAGTATTTATATTATTTATTCAATGTTCGTAACTTTCTTGCCTCATCATCCCGTAACCTAAACCCCCAAAGATTAATTCTTGAAAGTGCAGGTTATTGGTGGTTTTTCTAGCCTATGACGTGTTCTTTATGATTTTCTGTATCACAATGGCCTGTATTTTTGCATTAGTCTGTTGCGTTCCTATCTTATCTACAGTTGCCTGCCAAATATTTGATTAGCTGAATACTTTAGTGTGAAGTAAAACTAAGCTTATCAAATTCAGTAATCTAGATTGCTCATCAAATGAGAAAGATTAATTAAGACCAGCAACTTTTGTTTGTAGTTCTTGTCGATTTCCACTTCTAATCTTGTTGAAGTTGATAACGGTTTTAAATTTTGTAATTGGGTTCTTCCATGCCATGCAGTAATTCTGTTTGTTTGAAGCCAAAATCATATGTTAAGTTTTAACTCCATTTATTCTCGAAGAGAGAGGAGCATTGATTATTAAGGCATCTGATGTTAGGATCCACTGATCCAGAATCTCCTGCCCCTTCCTCGAAATTAATGAGGAAAATGTGCCCAGTGAGAGCCTTCCTCTTGAATCCAAGTTACAGCTGAAGCTCGAGCAGACTGCGGATGTAGGCGGCAGATAAGATTAGGCTAAGGAGAAAGAGGCTTGTTAGGAACCTTGTGTTATAAGCATCTCAACAGTTTCAAATTCGAGTTCTGCATAAATACATATACATTAACAATAAAGCTTCTTGTACAGCCCTCTCACAATGTCAGGAGACCCACATGAATTTTATAATTGTGGACCGCCCTCAGTATGAGAGAGGTGTAAGGGTGTACGGTAAGCACTACTGATACATTAATGCCGAAATCACAAATGGACTAGTTGCAGAAAATTCTGTCAATCTCAATAACACAGAGCATGTTGCAGAGAGGCCCGACCTGTCATGCCACATTTCTTTGTGGACCATTTTCCCAAGGTGTGGGAGAGGTAAAACAAGCCAAAAATATTATTTTATACATCAGGGTTTTGTTTCAGGCATATAAGTGAGCCATAAATTTCAATTATCTGCAAATATCATAATTAACAGTGAAGTGCAATACAACATTCATGGGGAAAGCAAAATATTAATACAAGAGTCCTTGATGAAACTGTGCGTAGAATTTGCATTCCTACTGTACACTTATAGTCGGCAGAATCCAAGAAAACGAGCTCACCAGCATGTCTCAATCATCTCCTTTTTCTGCTAAATAATTCGACAAGGTGGGCCCCTATGGTTGCGAGCTAGAGCTGCCATAGCTTGTGGCTAGATCAAAGTGAGAGCCCCAACAGAGGCTACGTTCATACTGAAGTCTTACACTTGAGAATGTTTAGTTTGCAGAGAGAGCATGTTGCACTAATTTGCAGCCACTTGCTAATGCATTTATGGTGAGAATGTTGTTTGCATTGATATATAGAGTAGAGTCAAGGAAGTTTACAGATATTTCATTTCACGATTCCAGCAAAATCAGAGAATTAAAATTATTGAAAATCATACTAGAAATCCACGATATTTTTGCTCATTTTATTCTCTCCCTCAAAGTTTGAGATAAGTAGGACTGAAACCATTGCCCCCACTCCCACCCGTCAAAAATTTGGAGTAAAAACTTCCCATTATCAAATCTCAAGTTCCCCATAGAACATGAATGAAAAATAATGAGGACATTTAGAAATTGGATATTAGACATATTGTTGTCAAATGGCCTCCCGGGCGATGATGTAAATCGGTTATTAATTATCAGTCAACATTTGCAATATGACAGAACGATATATCAATACCAATATTGGAACAACCCGACCTAAGAAGTGATTGAACCATTTGAAGCAACCAATTTTATTGTGTTGCTCATGGGCCATATTTTCTACCTACTTGGATGGCTAGTATTACTTGAGGCCCACTCTATATTCCACTTATGTGTTATTGGGCAATGACCCATTACCTAGACCTAACTTACCTTATTTGTGACTTGGCCCAATATTGATTCACTTGGTCTTGCACGCCACATTTACAAGACTTGGTGTCTTTCTCCTTCGCCTCTGCGTGCTCTTCTCTTCGCCTCGACGCTACTGCCTTCTACCGTTTTTCTTTGTGTTGATATCTTGGTGATATTTCTCCTCCTTTGTGGTGGTCTCTAAGTGGCAAAAGGTCTAGCAACCATAGGTGAAACATTTGTGTTGTTCTTGGGTTGTTTGTTTTTGGTACTGATTGTGGTTTTGGCAACTGAGCCTGTATATCACCTTGGTGATTGAAGATTTCACTACCTTACATTGGACGACGAGCAATTTCTGATTCTTGGGTTTGTTGTGAGTTTTGATTTCGGTGGAAATGAATTATAGAAGCTTTCAAGGGATGAAAATCGGGTTTGAAAATATAATTTCCTTACTTGGCAGCCACTAGTGACATGTAGGATTCCATCATGCCGCATCAAACCATATTCAAACGGTTACTTAGGGAATGATGGATGGAGGGCATTTTGTGAGATTTCAGTGACCGTTTAGAAGAATCTCAAAATATAGTGACTATAACGTCATAGTATCTAAAGTTCAGTGAGTAATGAAACTTTTTACTCTAATTAGCAATGCTCAGCGTCCCTTGTTGAGAAGGAATTGACTTTCCACATGTTCTTTAACTAATGCTGAAGTTGTACATATCCATCCTTGTTGGAACATAGCATGCAGAAGCTGTCAATTCGTAATCCTTTAATCTGTCTTAAATTGGTAGATAATTGATACAAAAATATGCACAAATAATTTTGCCAGACAAAAGCATATTTTTTATAACAAAACTTTCCCCCATCTACTCCTTACTCCTAACTGTGATCTTCCAGCAACAAAGAATAAACTTTTACGAGGGATTTTCATTTACTGCCTTTTACAATGGTATGTTGCCGCATAAAATACTATGTTTACATGTATGGCTTAGAGTTGGTTTTTGAACAAGTTGAGACGATGGTCTGCCAAACGGGAGGAATAGGCGGCCTTCTTGTACTCTCCCCAAGTAAAATGCCTGTAGAGACGAGGATTTTGAGACGAAATCATTTGTGGTACAGGAGATAAACTTGCATTGAGGGGTGGAGCTCCGAAATACATCATTGACATTCTCGGCTTCACGGAGTTTGCGAGTACCCGGTGTCTCACGCTCACAAGCCTTCCATTTGTCAAAGCCTGCACATTTCACAGTATGACTTAAGTTAGCAACAAGAGAGAGCATTTTCCTTGGTCAATGTTGTAAAGATTTTCAATTTCAAGACCAGAAGAATATATAGAGAAAAGCTTCGACTTTAGGCATGTCACAAGTCACTTTTTAGAAAGACGCAACTTTTCTTGACGTAATTATTCCCTTTGTATTTTATGTTGGGAAATTATTCAAGAACAAATTTAATTAACGAGTAAGGAAAGACGACACTAACCTGCAAGGCATCACCTACAAATACGAAGAATTGATTGGAGTCAGGAGGGATTGGGATCCACGAACCATCTCGCGAACAAATTTCAAGGCCACCCACGTCATTTGATCGCAAGATTGTCAAGATCTGAGGGTCGGAATGCTCTCCAAATCCAATACGAGTTGGTTTGACATTACAAGAATATTGCTCATCAAACAAGTTGGGCACTGAAGAGTCAATGGTACTAATTGGAGGATAATTATTGATCCTGAAGCAGGAGTCACTATTTACATCTCTGATAAGTTTACTAAATATGGACTTGTCTTGGACCCGCAACCCTTCAGCCACTAAATCGAGAATCTCACATGCCAGGTTCTTAACTGCTTGTACATAATCATTTACAGTACGACTGCAACAAAATGCAAATGAAAAATATCAGTTCAACGGTCCAACCAACGTACATATCTATTATAAAAAAAGAGTGTTACTTCGTGGACAGGGATGGGGACAAGGTTTGGGACAGGGGCGCCTGTTGTCCTCATCCCCTGTCCATATGGTTTTTCCCATAAAAAAAAAAAATGTGTACGTGTCAAATCTTTGATAAAAAATTTGACCAAAAATATATGACGGGACGTGTCTATGGACAGAAACTTCTAGTTTGAAGGGTTGCACGTAAACGTGTTGACCAGAATAATGTAATGAATTATATTTATGACAAGTTGACCACATCAATTGAAAAGTAGTTGTGAAAACCTTAATACAAATCTTAATTGCATGCGTTACCTGAAGTCACTAGAAATGGATTTGGTTGTTTCCGAAATGGATTGAGGATTGGCTTCGAGGAGAATATATTCAAGTTCGCCTTTATCGCCATTGAATCCAATATTTTTGCAGCCATAACCGAAGGGAGCAGCAGGTCCTGCTCCTTGTTTTTCCAATAAAGATTTTGAGAAAAATTCTGAACCTTGTCTCTCAGTTCTGGAAATTACATCTGCAGAAACTCCATGGTTAACCACCTTGAAGAAACCATATTCTTCACTTGCCTTTACAATTTGTTCAGACAGTTGAGACCTGTCAAGACTAAGATCTATGATTGGAATTCCGAGGGGTCTTGTTTTTTTTGCTTCGAAATGGAATTACAGAAGGAACAACCATACTGCTTTAATCAATGAAATAAGAACATAAATTTGCAGCTTAAGGTTGCGAACGAGGGGCAATCGTATATATAGGCACTGGCGATGACCATTGACCGTTGAAGAAAACATACGGGGAACACTACTTAATAAAAAATTGCAAATATGTTCTTGATTAGAACATATAATTGCACAAGATTACAATACATTAAGTTCCAAGAGGAACAAGTTGATTATGTTTTTAGTTAAAAGAAATAGGTCATCAAGAAAAATTAATTCAGTACCGTAAATTAAACTCATTTTACATCAGTTGGTCGATATTTACACGAAATGGATAGTAACAAGATCTGAATTTTTAACTACTATAATACTATGCAAATTAGAGGTTGTTTGGTGATGATCCCCCCTTTTTTCTCAGTTTTGGAAGAATAAAAATGAAAAATACAGTCGTTACGGGCCCCACACAAGAGATAGTATTTCAAATATGGTGGTTTGATGTGATGAATAACGATGATATTTTTCATTTTAATGAGGAAAGAATGGAAACCGAATAGGGGCTAAAATTAGATTTTCTATTAGATTGTGATATAAGTTTTCGAAATGTGTGGTTAAAAAGTTGTGAAACTCATGAAAGTGTGGTTAATATTGATTGTTTGATTTTGATTTAAATTAAAATCAGATATTAATTCATACTAAACATGCTTCTAATGTCCGTCTAAAAATTTAATAATATATTAAATATTAAGATGACAAGGAGGAGTAATCTTCTTGGACGAGTACTTGTCCAAACGTCAGCGCCCTATTGGCCGATTACACGTGCAGGAATGTTTGTATGAAAAGTTTAAAGGAAGCAAAGCTGACATGGCAGCGGCGGTTTGTCCCCTCTCAATTGGAATATTCGAACGTTTCCATTCATGCGTAACGTGAATGCCCCGATCACCCAAGAGGAAAAGTCCTCGTTCCACGCGGATGTTTGACTTAAGTTAAAAACTATTAATAATCTAAAAATGTTTTTTTTAAATATATATATATATAATAGTCACAAATTTTCAATCGTATATTCCATCAACTTTTAAAAAAAAAATATATATATACACACATTGTCAAAAGTCACATTAATGTTGTCGGAGTTTTGATATGTTGCCCCTATTTAGTTGTAGTCTTTTTGAATTATTGATGCGCCAATAAATTAAATCCGTGTTTGATTTTGCTAAATGTATGATGAAAAATAATTGTTGATTTTAATTTAAATATTTATCAACTTTCATAACTAAACCAAAGGTGAGATAATTCTTGTTAGTAATGAGAAGACATCATTTGTAATACTGCCATGTTTGGTATAGATTAAAAGTTGTTAAAATTTTAAGTCAAAATTTCATCAACTTTTATTAATATCAATTAAAAAATTTGATTAATTTATAGCAAACAGGAACATATTATCATCTTCTAATTTATTAATAAAAGCTGACATGCGGCAACAATCAGAGAGACAACAACATGAAATAGCGGTACTTATCTTAGGAACGTCGGTGTAAAGTCAAGTCTATTATTGCAGGCGGCATCAAAAAGAATATTTATATGTGACTTGGTCAACTCCTACAGAAAAATATCATAAACAACTCAGAGAGGGACCCTTTATCCCTGTTTGTTTATTAGAATTAGTGGGCGTTTTAGATAATCTTAGTTTATTTTATTGGATTAATTAAGTTGGTGACATGAACACACGTGAGTAGTAGTTAAAATGCTGCTAATATAGCGGCAAAAATGACAATTTAGCGGCTGTTTTCCTGACTTTTGTAAAATTTTAAGACTACGGTAAAAATAATGCTACGTAGCTTGCTAGTTGATAGATACTTCATATCATCCATTTCACTATGAAGAGACGAGAAATATCAGTGCAAGAGAATAAACAAACGCCACCAACTAACGTCTTATGTCCAATCATTTCGAATAACGTTTGCATCCTCTATTTTAATGCGATTAAGTTAAACCAAGCTTATTAAGAAGGGGAAGACAGAGAGAGATACTGTTGAAATAGATGGTCTTGAAACTTCATCTTTGGTTTGACACTTGGAGCATTTTGGTGATACAAAGCGAAGCTTGCGAGCAGAACAGAACATGCCGTCCCAACAGTGTACCTGTATCTTATGCCAATTGCCGGATAATTATTAATTACTTTAATAAAATGCTGGTTCAAAGTACCTACTACCAGATATTGGACTTCTGTAATATATTATTTCCGAAAAAGAATGTCTGCCTCTTCAATATACATTTTTTATAGTACAAGACTGACACTGGTGGTTACTATACTCCAATCCATTCATAAACAACCAAATGAATGAGAGAGAGAAAGGCGTGGGGGGTGGTGTGGGGGGGAGTTATGCGAACCTCCATATTAATAGTGACTACGAAACCCACGACTAGATTGAATCCAAATTCCAAGAAAACCAATAAGTCAAGATTTTGGATTTAATCCAAAAAACGATGAATCAAGCAACTAACAACGATGGATTTGTCGACCGTTTGATTACACAGTTTATGAATCTCACTTGGATTGTGAATGCCCCAAGATTTCACTCTTGATAAGTTCGAAAATTTGTTCAAACAAGAGCAATGAATTTATTAAGCAAAAAGCCACTCAAAAAATCTTTCTAATAATTCATAATAAAAAATCTTGTTTTACAACGAAGAGTAATGAATCTATTTATTCTAAACTCATGAAACCCTAGTTGACACGAATATAAAGTCTAAAGATTAAAAATGATACCATAAAGTTAGAGTTTTAACTTAATTATAAGATTGTCTCAAATGCGGTCGTATAGTTATAAGCCATATAGTCACATAAAAATACAGCCTTTAGTTTTGTCTCGTGAACATGTTGTGCAGCCACATGCCTTTAAAGTTATGCAGTCACATAACTTATATTTCAACTCTGACTTTTTCATGTGCAGAGTTTTGTGACGATTCCAAATTGTACTCATGAGTAAAAATTCAACACTCGAGTTGAAAGTTATGCCCATTTTAATCCACGTTGCTCATTTTCCATATATCATTCAGAACTTTGAATCCAACACACCAAACATGATTTCACCTTTATGACCAACATATAAATTGTTCGGCTTGTCAACTTCTACATTTTGTACTCCATAGCCCAATCAAGTAATTGGACGGCTTTATTGGCTCTTCGAGATCTCAAATTTAGCTCGATTCTTGGTCTTAACTTTATCTCGACATTCCTCAAATACTTGATAATTTCTACCCCTTGGATCACATGAGAGAGAGAGAGAGAGAGAGAGAGAGAGAGAGAGAGAGAGAGTCACTTATTTTATTATCTGGCGAGAATTAATATTTAAAAAATATTACATTTTTCATATAGGTAGTTGCTACTTAGTTCAAGAATCAAGACTACTTATTAGGAACAAGATATATATGTACTGTGCATAGAATTACATTCCTGGCATGCATAACATTTGATTTCCATTCAAACTGCCAAAAAAAATAATTAAAAAATGGTACTCTAACAAAGCCATGAAAAAAAATGCCTTCATGAAAGTCTGAGTTTTCTTCTAGTTAGTGAACTCGATATCAATAATATCAGGAAATCTCTCCTTTATAGCTGCTTTAATTCCAGATCCAATAGAATCAGGTCCCTCGTATTTTACTCGGCAAATCCCGTCTGTGATAGATAATACTTCCACACTTCCACCAAAATTCTTAATGGCTGGCCTTAAAATGTCTAAATGACAATTCACTGCCTGCAGATATATAAGCTGATTGTGAGACTCACTGTATTTAACTTAAACTGATAAAGTTCGATATAGACAGACCTCAACCGTTGTCTCGCTAATTTGTTCATCATTTATTTGACAAATATCCCTGATTGCATCACCAAATTTTTCCTTGAGAACTCTTTCAATACCCATTTTCATTGTAGTTGTTGAGCTAGGACAGCTTCCACATGCTCCTGTTGTTCATTCATGAAGTACAGGTAAAGACAACAGCAGCTAAGAATCGGATTTGGAAGCACAAGTAGTGATCTAAATAAACAAATGCAATTAAATAAAATAGTAGAACTATAGAAAGGAAGAGAAGAAGAGGAGAGAGAAGGGGAAGAAGAATTTTGTATGAGAAACTATCAATTTGTTTCATTATCTTTATATACGTTTAAACTAGTCTATTTTAGGTAAGAAATATCTAACAAAATACTAGAAATTATTAAAATATTAGAGACTCTAAAACCCCAATTATGTTTCCAGTATGAAAAGTTTTCTATATGATATATCTTCTAGGATTTCAACCAGGCAATCATGCACATATATTGGCCAGCTGAAAGAAATTTGTTTTCAAAATATCAGACATCGTCTACCAAACTTCTCTGTTCCTCAAAGACAGTTGAGGCAATGTGCTCTTAAGATTCATCACATTCCTAAAAACAAAGCATACAACTCCATCAACCATCTTGATCTTGACCACCTTAAATCCCAAAACTATCTGCTGAAGCTCATTAAAATGATCTTCTATGGAATAAACACCCAAAATCCAACCTAAAGAATGTATACATACATATGAAGGCTGAAGATATCTGTTTGTATATGAGGGCCAAAGTAACTTCATTAAGCCCACAAGCTCATTTTCCTTGCATCATTTTCACTCAATGAGGAAAATCATCACAGTTTGTGCAAACATTCCATAATACTCTATTTTGATACATCTAATCCAATTCTTGTGCACTTTGATCCAAAATCTTTATGCTCTTCATCCTTAGGGTTCCATGCTTCCAAATCCTTTCCCTACAATGCTTTTTGTTGGGTTCCATTGAATTAGGATGTCAGTTAAATTGATTCGCCAAGAACTTGACTCACTTCATGAAGCACATCCAAAATGGGAATTCAATGTAAGTTGAAACCATAAGCCCTGGTACCGTGTTTCTAGGCTTGGAAGATCTTTCAAGATCCTGCTGAGAGTATCTTGGGGATGATGGAATAAAAAAAAAAGAAAAGGATCAAATTTAGGCATGGGATAATCGAAAATGTTATTGTTGAGCCAAAGAAGTTGACATTTTTCATAGTTGTCCAAGCTTAGACAAGGGTCATGAGCAAGCTTCTCTCTTAATTGATATAGTTGTTCTCCAATAAGTGGGAACTATGGGTATGGATAAAGTGAACTCAGACTTAGCATGCTCAACATAGTACCTCAGAGATGCCAGGACATAAGGTGGGAGCTAATTGGCAATGTGATAAAGAGTTTGTTAGAGACATTGAGCATAGGATATGTGATTTAAACAATGAATTTTTTCTTCTTGTACAGACGTAACAGACTTAAAGTAAAGAGAGAAGGAAAAGGAAGAGGAGCGAGGTGGCATGATGTTAAAAAGAAAATACTTCAATCCTTTTTTTTTTTTTTTTTTTTGGGGCATTTAGGTCCCCAACCTTCAACTTATGGAACGCCCTCTCTCCTTCCCCCTGTCCAGCCCAGCCATCCACCCTTCTCCTCCCCAAACGTCCAGCTCCCTTCCAAAGTCAGGTTGGACGAGGGGGGAGGCCAATGTTGTTTTATCTTGTTTTAACTTTTCCTTGCTTTCCCTTTTTTAAAATTTCCTTTTTCTTCTTCAATTTTTGATTTCATTAACCTACAGGCAGAAGTTCTTTTCAATGAATTTAACACCTGATATAGTCGAGACACTCCAAAATGAACTAACTTGCTCCATAAAATGAATGTTAGGGACCAAACTTCAAATGACTCCAAATGTTAGGGACCATGTACGCAACTTTCCCTGATGTGTGGCATCATTAACATGTGTTTGAGGCTTCCAAGACGAAGGATTATAATTACAGCTTTAATTCCATTAGAAAGGGTGTTAAACAAAGGAAAACTTACTATAATGCGAAGCAAAAACTGAACCTGATACTGATGGACCTTACTGGCAAGAATTCTGACTACTCCATTTTAGAAATTTACCATCCAATGGATTGATATTCAAACTTAAGATCAAGCTTAACTCCATCCTACAATTACTTATTTACTTTATTCACTGTTGAGACGGCTTTAACAGACAAAATCTTTATCCATGCATCCCTCTTCATAATATTAAAATCTATCTGAGAACACGTTTAGGTTTGGCAATAAGAAGTGATAGGCTCCATTTTCAGATCAGGAGTTTCTGTGTAGTACATTTGACACGACTCGCCCCAAATCATCCTAATAGACCTGACACGTGTCGTGCGCCGAGGGTAAACACCAAGTGCCGGACTCACCATCAAAACAACTTTGACTTGTTTTGATTGTAATATACTTTGTAAAAATTTTGACAAAATTCTCCCTGAATTATGGACTAAAACCACCTGTAATATATAATCCAATATCCCAAACAGATACATATAGTTTAAAATAGGGGTACACTTTCCCACAGAATATCAACTATTCAAAATACAACACAGGCAATTCGACCTTTGCAACAATTTATAAACCACAGTACCCAAAATGCATAATATATACAAAACATAGCAGGCCTAAAACATGGAACTAATTTTTGACCAAAAGAAGTGTCTATCCCAAAACATGAACTATTAAACTGATAAGCTAAGTCATACAATGCTTAACAATCTATGGCTCAACCCGATAGGTCAACTGGCCCAGTAGTGCTCAACTCAGTTACTATCTGATAAGAGAAATTGTGATAAAATATGAGCCTATAACTCAGTGAGTGGATATTTCATAAGTAAATATATATTTTTTAGATATGCCAACTTTCTAAAAACTAGTATATAATAAAAATATTCTTTTATTGTACTATAAGCTAAAACATTTATTCTTTAAATTGAAATGACTAAATTCTGTAATCTGAAAACTGATGAACTACAAGTTACTGAAAATCACACTGAAAAGATACCCGGAATAACCTTACTCATGTACCAGTTAGTACTGATATACATGGCAGAACTATTCGATTCTGTAATTCTTAAATTCTGGTCATACGCTCACAGAGCTGAAATTCTGGTAACACGCTATGAAAACACATTCACAATAGTGTAGAGCGGGCAAAATCATTATAACTGGTCATACACTGTGAAAATACATTCACACCAGTGCAGACGGGAGTAAAATCACCTGGGTACTTTCTAGTGGTTTTTAAAAATAACTTTAAATATTCTTAAACACGTAATATCGATAAAACATGCTAATGAAATGATTTAACTGAACTGGATCAAACTTTAAACACAACTATTTATAAATCAACTTTATTCTGAAAATTATGCTATCATTTCAACTGTATGAAATAATAAATTTTCTGATTTGCTATAAATTGAATAAATACTTATTACTGAAAAATTAATTTTCATCCACTCACTCAATACGAGTTACAGACTATGCCGGTCGGTAAGCTTTTCCAATTTCTTCGTCACCATCTAAAATACGTTACAAAATAACTAATTTATCCTCTATCAAATCAAGAAACATTAATATCTAATGATAGAACTTAAAATTAAATTTCTTGATACTTGAATAAATTCCCAAATTTTCCTTTATTAATTGGAGCTAATCACACTTCATAATCTCTTCACTAATAACTAATTCATCAACATAACCTTCATTCCAAGCATTTATGTAATTACCACTTCATTCTAGTGACAACTTATCACAATACTTCGACCAATTAAATTTTCCTCTTGTTCCTTAATTTCATGCTTCCAAATAATTATTTCCACATCACCATCATTTCCACAAATACTACTTAATCCAAAAATCATAAATAAACTTTCTACGGTTTGCTAAAATAATATTCCTTATCTAGCTGAAATTGGAATTGAAGTAATCCCCAAACTTGAGCTCCAATTCGTGTTTATCATACCTAAATTTGAAAATTTCTACTACAACTTAAAACCCTAGAATTTTAACATAAATCATACTTTCTCACTTGAAACAATTGGAAAAATTGGAAAAATTCAACCAAAACTTGGAGAAAATAACTTTACCTCACTTCCTTTTCTTCCTTCTTTCTCTTTTTCTTCTTCTTTTTCCTTAGTTTTTATCCCTTTTTGGGTCTCTCCAGCCCTCTGCCCCGTTTTTCAGTGTGTGTGTGTGTTTTTTTGAGAGAAAATGGGTCAATTTTACTGATTTAATGGTCCACTTGCTAAAAATTGCAAAATAAGTCCTTCAACTCCCTTTTCATAACACATTTAATCCTAAACTTCCAAAAATATATAAATAAATTCTCAACTTTAAATTGTATCCAATTTAACCTTCATATATTTCCAATTGTAAAATTAACCCCAATAAAATATTTAATTTCATTTTAGTCCTTAATTGACTTTGACCTTGACTAGTCAACATTTGAATTTTTTACTATAAAAATTAAGTTGTAACAATCTTACCTCCTTAAAAGAATTTCGTCCTCGAAATTCAACTGACAACTGACTAGGCAATGAATAAATAAGGATATTGAGCACGCATCTGATCCTCGTTCTCCCATATAGCTTCTTCTACTGTTTGATTCTGCCAAAATACCTTAACAAGTGCAACTGTCTTGTTTCATTGAGTTTGCACTTTCTTGTTTAAGATTTTCACTAGCTCTTCTATATAAGTCAAATTCTCCTTCAACTGAATTCGGTGAGACTCCAGAACATGAGAGAGATCTGCAACGTGCTTGCGAAGCATGGAAACATGAAAAACATCATGGATCCGAAATAATTCATCTGGCAGATCTAATCAATATGCAACTAGACCAATCCGCTCAATAATCTCATAGGGTCCAATATATCGTGGACTCAACTTTCCTCGCTTGCCAAATCTCAACACCCCTTTCCAAGGAAATAATTTAAGAAAAACTGTCTCCAACTACAAATTCAAGATTTTTCCTGCGCCTAAAAATTGTTACAACTCAATTTTTATATTCAAAAATTGAAATGTTGACTAGTCAAGTTCAAAGCTAATTAAGGACTAAAATGAAATTAAATATTTTATTGA